TGTTCTTGCTTTTACCTCAAACTGATTCTTAAGTCAAAGTTCAAACAGTAAAAACTGAAATAAATGTTTAGTGAAAGCAACTTACTGGAATAAAAACTTGGTTTCTAAAATGATTGCCTTGAAAAAAATAAGTATATTTAGCTACACACCCATAAGTGAATCATAATTTTCATTTTATAATCCTACTTTCAACAGAACATACCTTCGGACACAATAACTTTGTGTATAGAACTCTATGCATTGAAAGGGCAGAAATGAACACAGGTTATTGTTTGGTTTGGTTGTTTTAGGGATAAAAGCTAGGTTTTAAACTGCACTTGCTAAACAACAACATTTTCTTTTTGATAACCAATCAACCACAGGCACACAAACAGTTCTGCTCTGAATGGAACTGGTCCATTGCCTCTCGTATGTCAACAGGTAAGTTATAAAGGTCTTTGAGTTCCCCCCTCTTTGAGAGCACTTATAAACATCGTGCACAACACAGACCACAGAGGTAGGGAAGAACATCTTTAATAAATGATCTTCTTAACTGTCAAAAATTTCTGAAAATGAACCTGACAAAATGAGAACCCGGGCCTTTGAGGAGTCCCACAACCCACAGATCCATGGGCTCCCATGTGAAGAGTTAACCCCCGCTGCGCCGGGCCTTTGTAGGGTACTTGGTCACAAGATCCAGCAGGGCTCCAAACAAGGCACTGGGAAGGCCTGTGTGCGCTCACTTGCCGATTCTCTGCACCGCCCAGTCCGGCTGGCAGAGCGGGCAGCGAGTGTTCTGCTTCACCCACAGGGACATGCAGCAGTTGTGGAAGGAATGGTTGCACTCTCCCCACACCACAACACAGTCCTCCTGCTTGTTTTCGGCTTGACATCTAATGCAGGCATCCATCACCTGCACCCTGCAGATGGCACACGTATCACACTCCACGTCCCAGCTTCACATGGCCACCGTGTTCCACTTCTTGAGAGAGAACATCTTGGCGTCCCCGACTCTGAGCCTGAGCTCCTGGAGGAGACAGGGTGCGGGTCTCCTGGGCCTCTTCCACGTTGAGCAGCGATGCCCAGCCTGCTGCGAAGACACTGGGTCATGGCATGTGGGGCGACTATGGAGGCTCTGCAGGGTGCCCCGCGGGGCCACCTCATTGGCTCACCACAGGAGGCCCATGATTGGCTGGTGTGGTTAGTAACCTGCACACAAGTTTTTGTTTAAGGATATTCCTCACTGGCTTATTTGAAATGGAAAAGAGAACTGAGTGTGTGCACAATTTGCTCTACTTAATACTACACAACTATATAAAGTGTGTTCTCCAAAATACTGTGACATGTATCACTGATCTTTTACAGAGAGCAGAAAGAAGGAAGTTACAGTCTGAATGCGTGAGAGGGAGAGGGTGAGAAAGGAGAGAAAATGGCCCAGAACTGTGCTAAAAATGTAACCATTAACTACATGTGGCTACTGAGCACTTGAAATGTGACTGGTCATAATTTAGAGGTATTATAAGTGAAAAATATCAGGGTACTTCAAAAAGTTGTAGAAAATGGAATTAAAAGTAAATATAAAAGATAAAAACTTTAGTTCTTAAGATATACTTTTCTAAGTGACGCTACTAGCCACTTAGCCCATCTCATAAGGACCTTGAGGGTCCTGGAAACCTAAACATGTCAATGCAGTCCTTTTTACACAAATAACTGAAGAAAAATGGGTGTCCTTTAAAGCTTTTGTAAGATTAGGAAAACAAGTAGTCAGAAGGAGCCAATAAGGAATTGAAAATGAATACCTAATGATTTTCCACCAAAGCTCACATAAAATTGCCATTGTTTACTGGGAGGAATGAGTAGAGCATTGTCAGCGTGAGAAAGTGTCTAATGCTCTCTCAGACATTTTTATGTGAAAGCTTTGACTTTCTCTAAAACACTCTCACAATTAGAAGATATTATCATTCTTTGGCCCTCCAGAAAATCATCAGGCAAAATGCCTTAAGCATCCTAAAAATCTGTTGTGATGACCTTTCCTCGTCAGTAATCTATGTTTGCTCAGACTGGACAATTTCCACCTCTTGGTAGTCATTGCTTTGTTTGTGCTTTGTCTTCAGGATTATACTGGTAAAGCCATCTTTTATCTATTACACATCTCCCAAGAAATGCTTCAGGATCTTTATTCCACTTCCAAATTTCTTTTGAAAGGTCTTTTCTTGTCTGCAACTGACCTGGTCACAACTGTTTTGGCATCCATCAAGAACAAAGTTTGCTCAACTTTTTCAGCCAGACTGTGCAAGCTGAGCAGTTGGCTATTACTCCTTAGTACTCCTCAATTAGGGCACAGAGAAGATAATTTTTTTTCCTCACAGGTTGATATGGATGGTATACTACTGCAGGTTTCATCTTCACAATGGTCTTATTCCTTTGAAAACTAGTTGTCAGGGCTGGTATTGTGGCATAGCAGGTTAAGCTCCCACCTACAATGCTGGCATATCATTTGGGCACCAGTTCATGTCCCAGCTGCTTCACTTCCAATCCAGTTCCCTGCTGATGGCCTGGGAAAATCAGTTGAAGATGGTCCAAGTGTTTGGGCGCTGCCACCCACGTGAGAGATCCAGATGAAGCTCCTGGCTTCTGGCTTTAGCAATGCCCAGCACTGACTATTGTGATCAGCTGGGGAGTGAACCAGCAGATGGAAGATCACAGTCTCTTGTTCTCTCATTCTATCTCTGTTAACTCTGACTTCCAAAATAAATAAAAACTTTTTAAAAATGAGTTACCTACTTGTAAACCATTAATTTCTTGGGTTGTTATCTCTATAAATTTTTCATAAAGCATCAACAAATTCAACATTCTTCCAACTACTCTTCACCATAAATCTGATACTGCTGTAAAAGCAGAATTCATATTGCTGTGATAGGGGGCTCTTTTCAAACTAATATCTTATCCTTAGTATCTCAGACCAGATCCCATTCCAACATGTTCTCACAATTAGCTTAAGCTTATTTTGATGCAAAACAATTTCAAAATTCATGCATAGTTTTTTCACGAAAAGCATTTTCCATGGACTACTTGAAGAATCCTGACACACAATGAACTCTTGAGATTTACAATGAAACAAAAGAAAGACTATAAATGCTTATTAACAATTTTATATTTATTCTACACAGAGATGACATTACTTTTCATGGGTGGGGAACACCCAACCAGCAGGCCATGTAAAGCCCATAAAATCATTTGGCTTGATCCTGCCAAGGCAACCTTAAGTGGGAATCAAAATTAAATAAATCGTTATCAGGTTAATTTTAAAGCTAATAATTTTTTAAAGATTTATTTATTTCAAAGTCAGAGTTACAGAGAGAGAGTGAGAGACAGAGAGTTTGTGCTTCCATCTGCTGGTGTACTAACCAAATGGCCACAACAGCCAGGGCTGGACCAAGCTGAAGTCAGGAGGTAAATCTGAGTCTCCCACCTGAGTGCAGGAACCCAAATACTTGGACCATCTTCCACTACTTTCCCAGGAACATAAGTAGGGAGCCAGACTGGAAGTGGAGCAGCCAGGACTTGACTTGTGCTCATATGAGATGCCAGTGTCATAGGCAGCAGCTTAATCTGTTATACCAGAACACTAGCGCCCAAAATGATAATTTTATGCGGCCTGAAAATGATGTTATGAATATTCAAATGGCCCTTGGCAGAAAAAAAGTTTCCCCACCTATACTAAGTGAATGAAATATAGTCTTAAAATCAATTTCATCTGTATTTTATTACTTTTGTTTTTATTTTTTATTCTTCCATTCAATGGTTCACTCCCCAGATGGTTACAACAAAGTCAAGAGCCTGGAATTCCATCCAGATTGTCGCTCCCCCTCTTCGTGGAGGAACGACACAGGACCCTGCGCTGTTCTTTTGTCTGCTCGGCCCTCCCCGGGTTTGCTGCTGGTTCTTCCCGGGTTGGCTACTGTCCCTTCCACCTCCGTGGAAGGGCGGTTCCCCCTGGCCACTTTCCCCACTTCCGCAGGGGAGTGGCACACCGCCGGCCGGCTCTCTTGGGGGCTGCACAGGTGTTCCCTTAGATGTTCCCCTTAGATGTTCCTCTTAGATGTTCCTGGTGCATGCCGTCTCTCTCCTCCTTTATAGTCCTCCTCCGCCAATCCTAACTCAGCTGCCCACACACCGAGTACGCTGCTCTCCTCCAATCAGGAGCAAGTCCTACAGTTTATTGGCTGAACTGGAGGCAGCTGTGTAAAAGCTGTTTTCTTCTCTCCCAGCGCCATATTGTGGGAGAGCAGATGCACAAAATAAGTCTTAATTCCAGTAACTTAGTCTAGTCCGAGTCGCTCCCAGTTGCTCCCCACACAGATCTCCCACGTGAGTGGCAAGGGCCCCTTGCCTTCTGCTGCTGCCTTCCCAGGCACATTAGCAGGGAGCTGGATTGGAATTGGAACAGCCAGGACTCAAAATGAAATTCACATGGGATGTCAGCATCCACATGGGTGCCTCAACCACAGTGCTGGCCCAGCAAAAAAATCTTTTGACCCTAGAATTGACCAGGTCTGAGGGTTGACATGAAGATCCGCTGTGAGGAGCTTTAGAAACTCCCAGTTTCCCAGGCCTCAGGGATGTTCTCTGCAGTTTTCATTTTTCTCTCCAACACTCCTACTCCAAAACAAAAGCCTAACTGCCTCTAATCTCTTCAAGAGACAGGATTTTTCTGAATTGACGGGATTTCAGGGAAATTCAGCAAATATGTATACAAGGAAGACACAGGATGGGACAGCTAACTTGAAAGAATTTGCTTTATAGCACTTTGGGCCCTGAGTAAGCGTCTCTGTTTAAGGACGCATATCTTGTTGGATTTCTGCTTCCCTTATTGCTGTCTAACTTTTCATAAAAAGAATTTTTTCTAAAATCTTGTTGTAGTGAACATGAGGATAAATAAATGAAACAAGAAACCTATAATATTGGAACAAAAATATGTGAAATAATTTCACCTATATCTATACAGTTGTTATTCTTATATGTTTTTCTAAGAAGAAATAAATTCAGTGTGCATTTGATTCTTAATGGCAAGTACAATTGTAGATAACAAAGTTAAGAAAAAAGATTAGATGGAGATATACGGCTCCCTCAAAACTGACAAAAAGAAATTAACAATGCATTGGCACGTAAAGTATTTTTATTTTACTTACACTAAGTTTAAAGTAAAGTGAAAAGGTACAAGTACACAATATAGAAATTATAACGTCACAAAGCAGATTACAAACATGGGATATAAAACTGTAATGAAATATTTCCCAAAGGTGACCCATTCCCAACATCGTTGTATTAAAATAATGTGTATATTTAGACAGATGTCCTCCACCACAATCGTACATGAGTGGTTTAAACAGCCAGTTTTTAAAATCTCACTGCTCTCTTTGGCAAAAGAAAGTCACACCATAAGCAGAAGGAATTAGAATAAGAATTCAAAAAATAAATTCACCACTATGAGTAAATGAGGGACTTGAAATGACCTTTATTACTGTGGTCAGTGTGGTTGAGAATGAGATTAAGAGGATCCAGAAGCCTGAAACTAACATATCTGACTCATACTGCTCCCTTGGCAGTTTCCCACCAAGCATAGACCAAAATCTGAGCCTTCCTCAAGCTTGAGAATCTCCCAACTGAACAGCCAGCCATCCCTACCCTCTCCCCTCTTCCCAACTAAGTCCCAGGAAAGCACAAGAGAGAATTTCGAAAATGAATGCCCTAAGACCACCTCCACTTATTTCCAGAACAATCCAGATTTTTTTCCATAGAAATCTGGAGACAAAATTAATTTGTGTTCAGTTTAGTGTTTTAAATCAAGATATCACCTTTGGGAAAAGGAGGCATGAAGAACATTGGACATTCAAAACATATTTTGGGATGGGGAAATGCTTTATATCTTGCTTGGAGTGATTTACATAGGTGCACACATCTGTCAAACTCATATTGTACACTTAAAAAAATGAGTGTTTTTATTGTATGTAAATGATGACTATTCTGATTAAAAATCAGTAAGATATTTTCATAAATCCATCCTTTTATGACATTAAAAAAGGGAAAAACTAATTTTTTTATATAAATTAAGGTTATATGAACCAATTAGAGAGAAACTAAATTGTTTGGAATTTCTGCCTTGAGAATTCCAAATCTATATGAAGCAATAGGCAGGTAAAACATAGTAAGACTTCACTTTTCTCAGTCTTAAAAAAAAAAAAAATCAGGTACCTTTCCTGTATCTCTGTTCAGAACCTGTGTGTTCTCTGTTGACAAGTCTGGAAGAAAAATCCCAAGGTACTTGGGAGAACAAATCACACATTCACTCCTACCACTGTTTTCAGTTAGGTTACTATTTGCTGTTTCCTGGACCCGTTGTAATAACTTTCCTTTGCTCGGTTTTGTTGTTGCTCATTTTGTTTTGCTATCTTTGCCATCTTCCCCATTCCAAATATTTGATGCAGAGCGGCCCCTACACTGAAAACCAGGGTTCCAGCTCTCATTTGCCACCACACTCTGCTCTGGACTATGACCCATCCAGGTCTTCATTTCTTATCACAAGCAGGGTGAACAGGAAAACACCACTACAACTCTTCAATTTAATTTTTAATTATAAAAGAAAGTAAAGAATTCAAACTGAAGCAGAGGTATATTAAAGAAAAATATGAAAGTTGGTCTTAACCATTTGTCCCCACGGGGTAACCATGTTAACGTGTGCATACTCAGGGCCAGGGCTGTGCTACAGTGCTGAAAGCCACTGCTGGCGGGGATTTTGCCTGCAGCATTGCTGCTACTTTTCCAGAGTCTAGAACAGTATCCAGTACAAAAGAGATGTCAATAAATGTCTGCTGAATGAATGAGTGTACATGAATCCTCCTTCTTGTCAGATCGACTAGAACGTCCATGGAACCAGGGATGTGTCTACTGGGTCCCCTTTGTAGTCCCAGCACCAAAGTGGCTGGCACATGGTAAGCACTTACTAAGTATTTGTTGAATTAGCAAAACAGCTCATTGGCAAAACTTCCTAATTATTTTTAACTACACCAGTGTATTGACATACCATAACACAATCAACTACTGCAACTACTGATGTAAAAAGTCTTAAAACACTACTGCAATGATCATCCTAAAGATTTTTGTAGGATAAGAATCTCCTCCTAGGGAAACCATGGATTTGATCACAATATATTCTGAAGTTCCTCTCAGTTGAACTGCATGACTTCAAAATACTTGAGATTAATTTCTCAGCCTGAATGGAAGCTGATGCCTATAATTAACTTTGGGAAATGATCTCCATTACTTATCCTGCTGTAAAAGCCAGTGTCTTACAAAACTATCCAGATGCAGCTCTGACACTGCCACTCACATAACAAGACAGCAAAAAACCTCCTGGAAACGAACAGGCTGCCTGCGTCCTCCATGACCAACATCTGCTGCAGGCAGCATCATGTGGGGTTGAGCAGTTTTCAGCCAGTGACAGATCCATATTCTTGATTCATTCTTTGTGGGCTGAGGAGGGCTCAGCAGGAACAAGGAAATGGACTCCCAAGGCCTCAAGCTGGGAGATGCTGAGAATCAAAGGCCACTTTGGCATGGATAAGAGCAAAGAGGGGAGCTTCAGTTTATCTGTGAGTTCTCCAAAGAAAGAAGTTACAAAGGCAGGCTATGTCTGAGCTCGCCAGTGAAGAAGTCTTCTCAGAAAGCTACCTTTTTGCTCATCTGATTTTTTTCACTCTGAAGATATTCAGTAAGTTTCCATATGTGTCAAAGCCACGCCAGGCCCTGGGGAGGCAACAACAAGCAGGACAGACTTGTCTGCACCGCGTCAGAATTCAAGTTCAGGGACCACTGTCTCCATCAGTGGTCCTGACACTAGCAATACAAATTGCTAGAGACCTTTGCCTTCCTTCCACCAGGAAACAGAATTTATGTTCCAGTCACTGCTGCTGCTTCTCTGAAAAATACAGCTCCAGTCTTCTCCACAAACGGAGAAGTTGGACAGAGATTGTTGCTCTTCAAGCACACAAAAAAGACTTAGCAACATACAACAAGCACACTTCCCTTTTCTCCAGGTACTCCCGCCGAGCAGTGTCCTTAAGTGAAGCAAAGGAGATCTGTGCGCTGGCACACACTGCTGCAGATGCAACACTCAAAAAGGCATAATTCAGAGGCAATCTTCAAGATCGTGTGGTCCTGTGCCAGTCAACTCTAAACTTTTTAAGGAGCATGAGTCTCTATGAAAGTCAGTGGCTTCTTCCATCTTTCTGCACACACACACATACACACACACACAAACACATGCATACATTCCAAAACATAATTTTACCTACATTTTCAGCAGCTTCATGGATAGCTTTTGTGCTTGAATTTCCTCGAACTCCAGGGATTTCGTATCAAGGATTCCTAATCCATGAAAAGCCCATTTGCCCTTTAACATCCATGATTAGCATTCCCGGGGTTGCATAGCTCTGTTGGCTACATACAGAGGTAATGGTTTGCCTGTGTAAGTCCAGTGCAGGTAACACAGTCCCATCTGCACATGAGCTAACGATCTTCAGAAAATGGGATTATTCTGCTCAGACAGATGGCACCTCCAAAATCAGTCAGCTGACGGATCTCATCTTTTTTCAAAAAAACAATGCCAAGATCAAAACTGGAGTGATTAAATGCGATGGAGGTGAAAGGTGACAACCCAGAAGCAGTCAACACTGAACCCCACTGGTGACATAGCAGTAATACTCCTCAGGATCCTCTACTTCATACAGGTTCTCCTCAATGCTGTAGATGTTGTCTTCTGCACGCATGCCTTCTGCCACTGCATTTGCTAACCCTGATGGGGGGACGTTGGCCAAGGGGATGGGGCTGTGGAAGTAAAGGCTGAGGCTGAGTTAAGTATTTCCCACGTAACACAGAATAGGATTAAGAGGAGAGGTTTTGAAGAGAGAGCAACCAAATGCAGTGCACAAACCATGATCAGTAACTGGCTAAGAGGGAAAGCCGTAAAATGGCTATAACATAACTTGAAAACAATTGAGGAAGTTTTATTTCCTTAGTCTTTAAAATGGCATATCCTTTTTCTTAGGAGTTGCAGGTGAAGTGTCCAAGTGTCTGCAACTTCCTTACAAATGGTTCAGAAAAAAAAATTATATACATAGAGAACTAGAAAACGCAAGTTGCTCCAAATGTCAAATGAGGACTTTAGGTAAAATGTTCTATTGTTCTTTGTTGTTATTTTAATTCTTTTTTTGGCTTGAGAAATTTCAAAAGGAAAAAGACAAAGAAATGGATGTCTCAATCGAATCACACTTGAGTTTTAATTCTCTCTCTCTTTTTTTTTTTTTTTTTTTTTTTAGAGTTTTAATTCTCTGTCATTGGCCAGTCATATGACTTTGGGCAAATCTGTTTTGTTTTCTTTTTTTCCTTCAGTCCATTGAGAAATATTTAGTGTGGTACACACTTTTGTGCATCTAGAGATACAGAAGTGAAGAAAACACAAAAACTCCATAGACACAGCGTGTAAACATGTTAAGCTCTCAAACAGGATAGAGAGAGCCCTGCCTAATGGGACTGCTTGGCAAGTTGTTTTTCATTCAACCACCCACACTGATGAAGCACCTGCTAAGTACCAAGAACTGTAGTGGGGATAGTTATTCACATGGCACACCAGTTCTGACATGCTATGGACTCTACAATTTATAGTTAGAGATGAACCTCAGCCATGATTTCATGGATAATGAATGAATGTTTATAAATGTTATTGATGAATGTTATCATAGTTCCAAGTTTCAGTTCTAATAAAGAATACACAGATAATCTAAAAGCATTGATAAATAAATACTTTGAGTTGCCATTTATTTAGTTACAGGGAATGCAGAGACAGGGGGAGGGAGGGGAAGAGACAAGAGAGAGAGAGAGCGAGCAAGCAAGCACACTCCCCTGGTTCACTCCCCAAATGCCTGCACCGTCCTCAGGGCCAGGGGCCAAAGCCAGGATATCTCAGAATGCAACCCAGCACTCCCAAGTGGGTGGAAGTAACCCCAGAACTTGAGCCATCATTGGTATTTCCCAAGGTCTGCATTAGCAGGAAGCTGGAGCCAGGAACTAGAGGCAGATACTGAACCCACTTGAGTATCTTATCTGGCAGCTTAACTGTTCAGTTAAACACCACACCTCTGTTTGACTTTTACTTCAGATTACTTTGTCTTCGAATACTTGCATGAACCAAATTTCACAGATGCTGAAGTCCCTTATGTAAATGACATGGTATTTGCATATAATCTATACATATCCTCTCAAACACTTTTAATAATCTCTAGATTAGTGATCACACCTCTTGTAATCTGTATATTCTGTATATATAGATTGCTTAGGGAATAAAGACAAGAAAAGAAGTCTGTGTACTCTACAGACACAATTACTTTTGTTTCTCATGAGCAGTTTGTTGAATTCAAGGATGAAGAACCTACAGATAGAGATGGCTAACTGTATTCCATATTTTATTAGTCTAAAATTATCAGTGGTTTAGATAGAATTTGATGGACAGGATCTTTTTTCCCCCAAAGCTATTATATTTTATTTCTATACCAAATGTCACTAAAACTCTGAAATCTAGTCAAAGTTACATAAGTTATGCTCTTTGAGTCAGGAATAGAGAGTAAGACATTGGTGGTTCTCAGCACTGATTGTCTACTAGAATCACCCAGAGAGCTCTCATGAGCCATACTTACACTCAGGCCTCATGCCCAGAGACGCTGACTGAATAGTTCTAGGGTTGATCCTGCACAGGTACGCTTAAGTGCCCAGGTGATCCTAATAGGCAATCAGAGCTGCAAATAACCCGGGTTGAGCTGTAAAAACCCTGTGAACAGATTCTAGGCTTCTTGTTTACCCTCAAAGTACAGCCCAGCTCCTGGCTACTCAGACAGCTCAGACAGCTGAAAGTTCAGCTCATTGGGAAAAAGCCATTGCAGATTCATAAGCATTTCTTATTAATAGAGAGATAAATTTTATACTTTAACTTGGCTCAGGCCACTAGGGGTATGAAGAAGGAACTGGAGCAGCATGCTGAATTTTTCATTTTGTTATTAGAGCTAGGGCAAAATGCAAGTGTAAGCTTAGGTCCCAAAGCCCCAGAGCAGAACTTTCCAGAGCAAAGCCATATTAGAGTAGGGGCCTTCAAGACTTCCCATCCCCCTTCCCCATTCCATTATTCTTACCTTGAATTCTGTAACTTCTTTTTGCTATGAGAATGCCCTAAGTAAAACAGGGAAGAAAAGTCAATACAAATGCCTTCATGAAGTAAATGAGACAAGAAATAAGACAGACTCACTGGAGGCAAAAGTTGTTTAGGGAACTTGGCTCTCATCTTAGTCGGATTTAAAACAAACTCCCTCGTATGCCTTAGTTGACTATATGGTTGGTGCTTGAAAGTAACAAAGATGGATTTTTCTTATTTAACAACTATTATGGAACATATACATGTTTCTGAAGATTTCTAGGCACGAGGGACACAATGGCAAATTGTGAGCCCTAACTTCATGAAAGCCTTCAGTTGCATTTTACTGAAAGAGACAGAGGGAGGAGAGTGAGAGATAATGAGAATTTTAAAAGAAAACAGTAAATAAGAAACTCAGATAACTTCTAATGGTGATATATTATGAAGGAAATTTACAAAACACTGAAACAGATCACAGAGACCACAGAGACGGTAGTCAGGCACAACTTCTCAGAGGAGATGGCTTTTGAGCTCAGTTGTGAGAGAAAAGAACTATTGGGAGAGCTCTCCCAATAGGGGCAATCAATAGTAAAGATCCTGATGAATGTCTGACACTGAAAACACTGCTAGAATAAGAGAAAGGCCCCAGAGAAGGTCTGAGGTGTGGACTGGATCAGGATGCTGTAGTACGTTTTTGGCCACAATCAAGAACTAGACAAGGATGTCCACCTCACCACTCTTAGTCACTACAGTACTGGACATCTTAGCCAGAGCAATTAGCCAAGAGAAAGGAACATAGAATATCAAATTATCCTTGTTTGTACATAACATGATATTATGTACAGAAAAATCTGAAGATGCTATCAAAAGACTGTTAGTGTTACAGAAATCTGAGGTGGGAAAATTCTCTCCATTCAAACAGGCACCCGAGACAATCCATTTACACCAGTGGGCTCAACTGGAATCATTTCCTGAGAACTGAGCAACAATCCCCAGGTCCTTACAATATTTATAGGTTCATCAGCCTCATACCTTAGCTATTACAGCATTGGTGGGTTTAAATTGCAGATCATGTGACTTAGGACCACACTTCCAAAGGTCAGTGGGCCTGGTATGTTTGTAAAAGAGATACCAGGGCAGATTTATTGGACAGGTTTATGACTGGAGGTTACAGAAGCAGAACTTAGGACATCTTCCCTCCCTAGACAAGAGAACAGTGGGCAGTGCTTCACTAGTTCATTGTGAGCAGCCACTTTTCAAGGTCTGTGTTGGGAGGAGGGGTCCGCTTTTATTTCTTTTTGTCTCTGGTTGCAGCCATGTTTTCTCTAAATGAGAATTCAAATAAACCAATTCAATAAAATGGCAGGATACATTATCAAAATACAAAAACTAGCAGCATTTTTATACGACAATAACAAATTGCTCAAAAAGAAATAAAGACAGCAATTCCATTCACAATTGCTACAAAAAATGCATAACAAAGCATTTAACTGAGCAGGTCAATGACCTCTATAATGAAAATTATAAAACACAACTAAAAGAAATTGAACAGGACAGGAAAAAAATGGAAAGACCATCCTTGTTTGTGGAATGAAAGGATTACTACTGTTAAAATGTCCATGGCGTAGGTATTTGGCACAGTGGTCAGATTACACTTGGGATGCTACATCCTATGTCAGAGTGTCTAGATTTGAATCCTGGTTCCACTCCCGATTCCAACTTCTGACTAACGTACATCCTAGGAGGCAATGCATCATGGATCAAGTGGTTGTGAAGTAGGCAGGCATACAGGCTAAAATTGATTAGGTTTGTGAGCTGGAAGACCACACCTTCACCATACCCCTATGTGACCTCACACCCTACCTGATACCCTCACCACACCCCCATGTGACATCAGGCTCTACCTAACCATACCTGAGCGCCCACCTGCCCACAAGACACTCCCCTGAGGAAAATGTATAAAAAGGCAAATAAGCCAGTCCCAAAGGGACAAATACCATATGTTCTCCCTGATCGGTGACGACTGACTGAACACCAAGAGGGAAACCTGTTGGAGTGAGGTGGACACTATGGGAAATGGTGGCTTGATCAGCATAGCCCTGACTGTTAATGAACAACTTAATACATTATCCCTCTTAGTAGTTTTTTTATCTGTTCTACTTAATATGACTGGTTTAGATCTGTAATTGATGCACAGTTATTCTTAAGTGTTGAAAATTAACTGAAATGTGATCCCTGTTGAACATGGTGGTGGGAATGGGAGAGGGAAGAGATGTATAATTTGGGACATGCTCAGGCTGACTTGCCCCAAGTGGTGGAGTTGGAAGCATACCAGGGGATTCCAATTCAATCCCATCGAGGTGGCATGTACCAATGCCATCTCACTGTTCCAGGTGATCAGTTTCAGTTCACAGTTGGTCATGGTGAAGGGACTGGGAGTCAAAGGGAGCACATAGACAAGTCTAGTACCTGCTAACGCTAACCGATGGAGTAAATAAAGGGGAGAGTGATCCAACATGGGAAGTGAGATACTCAGCAGACTCATAGAATGGCGGATGTCCTAAATAGCACTTTGGCCTCAGAATCAGCCCTAAAGGCATTCGGAGCTGGCTGAAAAGCTCATGAGAGTATTTCAGGCATGGAAAGCCAAGACACTCTGGCAAAAGATCTCTGCGAGTGAGATCCCAGTGGAAAGAACAGGTCATCAAAGAAGGAGGTACCTTTCTCTGAAGGGAGGAGAGAACCTCCACTTTGACTATGACCTTGTCTAAACAAGATAAGAGTCGGAGAACTCAGAGGGCTTCCATAGCCTTGGAAACTCATGACTGGAGCATAGGGAGATTACTGATGCCATAGACAGGAGTGTCAATTGGTAAAGTCAACAACAGGAGTCACTGTGCACTTACTCCTCATGTAGGATCTCTATCCTTAGTGTGCTGTACATTGAGATTTAATGCTATAACGAGTACTCAAACAATATATTTCACTTTGTGTTTCTATGGGGGTGCAAACTGTTGAAATCCTTACTTAATGCATACTAAACTGATCCTCTGTTAAAAAAAAAAAAAAAGAAATTATCAATTCCCAACTTGACTCTCACTGGGATTAAACATGACAATAGGTCTGCTCTGATTTCATCATCATTTAAAAAAAATCATCTATTATTTTTCACTTTTTGTTTCTGTGTGGGAGCAAACTGTTGAAATCCATACTTAATGTATACTAAGCTGATCTTCTGTATATTAAGATAATCGAAAATGAATCTTGATGTGAATGGAAGGGGAGAGGGAGTGGGAAAGGGGAGGGTTGTGGGTGGGAGGGACGGTATGGGGGGGAAGCCATTGTAATCCATAAGTCGTACTTTGGAAAATTATATGCATTAAAAGTTTAAAAAAAAAAGGAAAAAAAAATAAATAAATATGAAAAAAAAAAGGAAAAAAAAAAAAAGGCAAGGAGCATCCCAAAAGGCTCTGTCTCTGCTTTTCTGCTGGTGATAAGCAGTGGAAAGCAGGTCAAGGCACTGGCTGCACGTGGCTTCTGGCCTGCTCTCTGCTTGGTATGGACATTACCCTAGTTCCCAGATTTACCCCTCTTCAAACTGAACTAAAGCCCTCACTTTCCTAGGCACCTTTGGCACTTAATAAAAGCCTAAAATGTCCATGCTGCCTCGTTTATCTGTGCCGGTATTTAGAATTCTCTAAATATTAGGCAAGAACCCTCTTGGGCTTATTAATATTGGGGATTTATTAATAAATCGTATGGCACCCCACATTCCAGTAGCATATGTGGCACCCCAGATAGCACTTCTGGGGAACTTTAAGGGGCCACATTTTGATGTAGACTTTAGGGGGTCATCTCCAATTTCAGCTGGGTCCTTTACACCCACGTGGGTGACGCATATTGAGCTCCTGGCCCAGGTCTGGCTGCTGCAGACATGTGAGAAGCAAAGCAGGAGTTGGGAGATCTTTCACTGACTGTCTATATCTCACCCTCTGTGTCTCTCTGCCTTTCAAATAAATACCTTTAAATGCCCATATTATAGAAGACAATGTACAGGTTCAATGTAGTTTCCATCAAACGACCAGTGGTACTTACAGTACCTGAAGTCAACATACACTGCAGAGTTATAGTAACCAAGAAGTTAAAAAACATTAAAACCCGACCTAAGAACAATGGAACAGAAAAGATATCCCAGAAATAAATCCACACATGTACAGTTAACTGATTTCTGACACAGGGACCAAAAACATATTTTGGAGAAAGGATAGACTCTTTAATAAACAGTGCTGGGGAAACTGGATATTCACAATAGAAGAATGAAACTAGATCCATCTCTCTCACCATATACACAGATCAACTCAAAATAGATCAAAAGACCTAAGAGTAAGACTTGAAACTATGAAACTATTCGAAGAAAACATGGAGAAAACATTTTAAAACATTGTTTCTTTTTTTTAAGAATTATTTTATTTGAAAAGCAGAGTTACAGAGAGAAGGAGAGATAGAGAGATCTTCTACACACTGGTTCACTCCCAAAATGGACACAATGGCTGAAACTGGGCCAGACAGAAGCTAGGAGCTTCATCCAGGTCTCCCAAGTGGGTTCAGGGCCCAAGCACTTGGGCCATCCTCTGCTGCTTCTCCAAGCGTATTAGCGGGGAGCTAGAACAATTGTGGAGCAGCCAGACTTGAACCAGTTTCCAAACAGGATGTCGACACCACAGGCAGAAGTCCAATCCGCTACTCCAAGGTGCCTGCCTCCTAAAACACTATTATAGACAATATTTTTTTTTGATAAGTTCCCAGGCAATAAAAGCAAAAAAAAAAAAAAAAAAAAAAAGACAAGGATTTTAGTAAACTAAGGAGCTTCTATTCAAAAAAGAAAACATTCAACAAACCGAATAAACAATCTATATAGTGGAATAGAATGTTTGAAAACTATTCATCTTATAAAGAATCCAGGTTATATAAGGTAGTAAAAAAAAGAAAGAAAGAAAAAAAGAAGAAGCCTAAATAATCCAGTTTAAAATGAGCAAATTATCTGAATGATATATCTCACAAGAAGTGAAAGTGATCACCAAGCAAACGAAAACAAAACTCAGCAGGGAAGTACAAATCAAACCACAGTGAGGCATCGCTTCAGCCCAAATGGCCATTATCAAAAAGTGACAAGCACTGATGAGAATGCAGAGAATCTTTATACACTGCTGGTGAAAATGTTAGCACAGCCACCATGGAAAAACATAGGGCTCCTTAAAAAACTAAAAATAAATGTACAGTATGATCCAGCTACCCCACTCCTGGGTATATATCCAAAGGAAATGGAAGTCAGCATATTAAAGAGATACCTATACTCTTGTGCTTATTGTATCCACAACAGCCAAGATACAGAATCAATCTAGGTGCCCATCAAGAGATGGATAGGCAAAGACGATGTAGTACAGGCATAATATAGAATATTATTCAGCCACAGAAAACAATGAAATGTGGCCATTTTCAGCAACAATGATGGATCCAGAAGACATTATGTTAAGTGAAATAATTCATACACAGAGACAAATACTGCACGTTTCCTATCATATGTGGAAGTTAAAACTTGATCTCAATATAGAAGAAAGTAGACTAGTAATTATTAGAGGCTACGAAGGCTATAGGGAGGAAGGATAAAAAGTACCAAAATAGAACTGAATGGAGGAGTAAGTTCTCAAGTTCCACAACACAGAGGATCTCACAGTAACTTGTGTATATTTTATGGAAAAGTAGAAGAGAGCAGCTTGAAATGTCCAAACATAAAGACAAGTAAGGAGATAGAAATGCTAATTACTCTGATTTTACCAGTGTACATTATATACATGGAATATCACACCAGACTCTATAAATATATACAATCATTACATGTTAATTAAAAAGAAAAAGAGGGCCGGCACTGTGGCATAGTGAGCTAAGCCTCCGCCTGCAGCGCTGGAATCCCATATACGCACTGGTTCCTTTCCTATCCTGCTCTCTGCTATGGCCTGGGAAAGCAGTGGAAGATGGCCCAAGTGCTTGGGCTGCTGCACCCATGTGGGAGCCCCAGAAGAAGCTCCTGGCTCCTGGCTTGGGATGAGCTCAGCTCTGGCCATTGTGGCAATCTGGTGAGTACACCAGCAGATGGAAGACCTTTCTCTCCATAACTTCACCTATCAAATAAATAAAATCTTTTAAAAAGAAAATTAAAAATAGAAGGAGACAGAAATTAAAGATGACATCTAAATCCATAGGAATATGTATTATCTAGAAGGTTTCAAGAGAGGGCTAGGCCCAGCCCTGAGAAACACTGACATCTAAATATCAGGCAGAAGAAGAGGAAACAGAATAATAATTGAAAGGGAATGACCAACCAAGCAGGAGAACAGTGTTCCTAAAGCCAAGAGAAGAAAGACTTTCTAGAATGAGTGGGACTCAACTTGGGAGAAAAATGAAAGGGTGGCTACCAGGAAGACAACAATGTCTGAGAATTAGCAAAAATGGAAGCCATGAGTGAACTTGAGTAAAACTATGTCCATGGTGCCAAAGGGATAGAAGCCAGATGACAGTGGTCAAAGAGCACAGAGGGCACAGAGGGGTGGGAAGTGGGCACAACCCATTCAAGAAGCATGGCTGAGGAGGACATGGACAGATGGAGCAGCTGCAGAGAAGCGTACAGACCAGGACATATTTTATGTTAACCAAAGCCGCATAACCAGAAAAGGAGGCATGGACGAGTCAGAAGAAAGGCATACAAAGAGTATCAAAGTCTCTAAGGAGACAACAGGCATGGCACAGGCCTACGTGAGCTCATTAGTAGAGGGAGACACATGCATTGGCAGTGAGGTATGGAAGGTCATCTCAGGGAGTGCACTAGAAAGAGACACAACTGCCAGGCATTATCGGGGGACATTCAGGTACTGAGACCATGACTTAAAAACCCATCAGCTTTTTGGTAAGATTTTCCAGAGAAGGTTGCAGGGGAAAGGTTGCACACTGAACAGCACTTTCATGTTTGTTCTTTTGAATAGCTAGCTTTGGGGAGTAATACACTGTCATTCCTCAGTATCCATGGGGAACTAGTTCCAGAACTTCAAGAGGACACCAGAACTGGCAGGTAGCTAATGCCTTTTTAAAAAATGACCTAATATTTGCATATAACCCATGTCCATTCTCCTGTACACTTGAAATCACCTCTAGGTTACTTAAAATACCTAATGCAACATACATGCTCTGTAAATAACTGTCGTGCTGTATCATTTAGGGAATAACAGCCAGTAATCAAAGTCTGCATATGTTAAGTACACATGCTATTTTTTTTCAATTATTTTCCATTTGAGATTAGATGAAACCATAAATGCAGAACTGTCAGGGTTGGCCAGCCACTTCTATGTGTATACAAAGTGTTAGATTTCTCCCACACCTCTTATCCATTATACAAACTAGGGTGGTCCCTTAGATGAAGAACTTCACAGATTTCAGAAAATTATTATTGCACCTTAACAGCCCTTAAACTGCATATTTGGGGCCAGTGCTGTGGTGTAGTGGGCTAAGCCTCCACCTATAGTTCCAGTATCCCATGTAGGCACCGGTTCGAGTTCCAGCTCCTGCACTTCCGATCCAGGTCTCTGCTATGGCCTGGGAAGGCAGTAGAAGATGGCTCAAGTCTTTGGGCCCCTGCAACCACGTGGGAGACCCCAAAGAAGCCCCTGGCTCCTGGCTTCAGATCAGCCTGGCTCTGGCCATTGCGACCATTTGGGGATTGAACCAGTGAACAGATCAAAGACTTTTCTGTCTGTAACACTACCTCTCAAAAAACATTCATATGACCAATCCACAAACTCCACTAGCTTCTGTGGACAGAAAACATAGTGGTGAGAAACAGCATAGCCCTTGTTTCACATCCTACACCCAATCAATCAACTGTGTAAAGTTGGGCAAGGCACTTCACTTTTCACATGTTGGTTCTCCATGGGAATAAGTTCTGTACCTATCTCATGTGGTGAATGCAAGACTCAATGCATATATAGAATTTGGCAGGTTCAAGCCAAGATAAATCAAGCAGCCTAACTCATCCCACTTTTCCCTGGAATGCCCCACTTTCAGCACTGGGAGTCTCATATATTAGAAATCCATTGCAGTCCTAGGTAAATTGGGGATGGTGGGTACATCTACATTCACAGTCCTTGCTTTGCTTTCTGCTTTTTATTAGCTAGAAAAGCTGGTATAAGACCTCAGCCTCGGCCGGCACCGTGGCTCACTAGGCTAATCCTCCACCTTGTGGTACTGGCACACCGGGTTGTAGTCCCAGTCGGGGCGCCGGATTCTGTCCCAGTTGACCCTCTTCCAGGCCAGTTCTCTGCTGTGGCCCAGGAAGGCAGTGGAGGATGGCCCAAGTGCTTGGGCCCTGCACCCCATGGGAGACCAGGAGAAGCACCTGGCTCCTGCCTTTGGATCAGCATGGTGCGCCGGCCGCAGTGGGCCAGCCGTGGCAGCCATTAGAGGGTGAACCAACGGCAAAGGAAGACCTTTCTCTCTGTCTCTCTCTCTATCCACTCTGCCGTCAAAATAAATAAATAAATAAATAAATGAATATTAAAAAAAAAAAAACCTCAGCCTCTGCCCTGATAGAAAAGAGCGTATGTCATGACTGTCAATGGGTGTGAGTGGAAATATTTTGCTCTTGGTTGTGGTGTTCTCAGTGTAATCACCCATCAAAATTCATACATTAAACACACTTTAAAAGTACGGTTTATCATCTGTAAACTACACTTTTAAAAGGTCTTTTCAATGTAAATAAGAGGCTTGGAACAAGCTATCTGTGAAGAGTGCCATGATGGAGAAAAACAAATTCTGTAACCCTGGTCATGACCCAGTGTTCAAGGAGCTTGGGATCCCTCTGTAAAGAACTCTGCCTAAGAAGCAATCACAGTCCCATGCCCAGAACTGAGCGGGTGCTATTACTGTTATTATTTCCAAACACACCTAGACATGGTCATGAGTGGAAAACAGTTTTCTTAACCAAATAAAAGAAAGTGGGATCTGGAAGCACACCCTGAATGTGAACTCCAGCTTTTGCACCTACTGATTCCGGAACCTTAGTGAAGCAGCTTACTGCCTCAAAGCCTTATTTTCCTCTGCTGTAAAACAGGCATAACAATACTGTCTCATGAGGATAAAATGTATGTAAAACATTCTTACACAATGCCTGACTGGCACATGGTAAGAAAGAAATAAAAACTGGCTATTATTACTGCTAGGGTTTAGAGGATGAACAGGTGTTCAGCCTGATCATCCTCCGATATCCCTATAAACTTGTATTTCTATCTAAGTTTGTATTGGTTCCCAATCAAGGGAGAGAGAAGGAACATCAAATGACTTACATTTAAGAATGCAAGCACCAACAAGAAGAATGACAGCCACCCCAGCAGAGATGCCTACTCCAATGTAGACATGGATCCTGGTGGTTGCTGTGGAACCTTGGAATTCACTAGCCAGTGTGAATCCTTGCTGTTAAGACATAAACAGAACTTAAGTAGCAAACAGCCAGGAATTGGTTGTACACTCAGTCAATCTCATGATTTAGGAATTAAGCCACCATCATCACAGTATCACATAACTGCAGGGACCTTAAAACCATCCTTGATCTCTTCTCTTGTAGAGAGGCCTCAAAGTACCACCCTAAGAAAAGGGCTACTCTAATATTTGGAGTCAGCAGGGAAAAATGCGTGCCCTTCTGTGCACCAGACAGAGATGGAGCATTTAGTCAATAGACTGCTCCTTCCCAAGCACAGGTGGGCGCTGGAGCACAGTCTTGTTCTTTCAGGAGGTCCTGGTGCTCCACAGAGAGTTTTGGAGTGGCCTATTCTCTAAACATCGAAATCTCCATTTTCACACAAAAGCAGTGACTTAAGACCTAACACTCTGAAGCCAGAAAGTCCTTGGCTGAACTTCCTATTCTATCAGCATGAGCCCAGGAACCTTGTAGAATTACTGATAGGATTAATGACAAAAAGTACAACATGCTTAGCACAGGGCATAGTACATGATGAAGTAAATGACAGTTACTATGGCTACTATTCAGTTTGATTTTTTTCCTTAAAAAAGATTTATTTTATTTATTTGAAAGACAGATTCACAGAAAGAGGTCGAGACAGAGAGGCCTTCCATCCTCTGGTTCACTCCCCAAAAGACCACAATAGCCGAAGCTGAGCCAATCTGAAGCCAGAAGCCAGGAGCTTCATCTAGGTCTCCCACATGGGTGCAGGGGCCAAAGCACTTGGACCATCTTCCACTGTTTTTCCAGGTGCATCAGCAGGGATCTGAATCTGAAGTGGAGCAGCTAGAACTCCCATCAGTGCCCATACGGAATGCCGGCACTGCAGGCCTGGGCTTTAACCCGCTGTGGCACAGTGCTGGCCCCTCAGTTTGATATTCTGATAATTCCAAGTCACACACAAAATTTTATTTCTGAGGTGGGCGCTGTGGCATAGTGGGTAAAGCGCCATCTGCAGTGCTGGCATCCCATATGGGCGCCGGTTCGAGTCCCAGCTGCTCCACTTTCAATCCGGCTCTCTGCTATGGCCTAGGAAAGCAGTAGAAGATGGCCCAAGTCCTTGGGCCGCTACACCCATGTGAGAGACCCAGAGGAAGCTCCTGGCTCCTAGCTTTAGATCGGCACAGCTCCGGCCGTTGCGTCCATCTGGGGAATGAATCAACAGATGGAGGACTTTCTCTCTCTCTCTCTCTCTCTCTCTCTCTGCCTCTCTGCCTCTCTGCCTCTCTGTAACTCTGCCTTTCAAATTAATAAATAAACCTTTAAAAAATTCTATATCTAAAATTTTAGTTCATTTTCTCTCTTTGAAAACAATAATAGCAAACATCTGTAGGACGAAGGCATTTAGCTTAGCAGTTACGATGTCTGTGTGCTACACTAGAATATTTGGGCTCAATTTCGGGCTACAGCTTCTCACTCCAGCTGCTTTGAACGTAGACCCTGGAAAGCAGTGGTGAAGGCTCAAGTATTCACATCTCTGCTGCCCACGCGGGAGATCTGGGTGAGGTTCCCAGCCCCCAGCTTTTACCCAACTGAGGGCATTTGGGGGAATGGACGGCTGGATGGGAGTTTCCTCTCTCATTTGTCTTTCTCTGCTGCTCTATCTCCCAAATATTATTTTCAAAAAATTTTAAACCAAAAAAGTCAAGGTAGTTTAATCTTCCACTTATTCAAAACGCATTTGCACATTTATTCCACAGATATACTACCCCTGCAGTAGCAGAAGTCCTGTATGCAAGGTTTTGTGCATTAAGCACTGGGGGCACTCAGAGGCACTTAAAAAGCAGCCTTTGATCACAAAGAGAGGAGGGACAAGAAAAAGATACAGATCATGGGTTGTGAATACCCAAGCAGGTGAGAGAATCCAGTGAATACGGCTTCCTGGATAATTCTGCAAAGAATTTTTTAAGTCACCGATACAAGCTTGCTGTCTACTGATTTTCCTCTTATTCTGAGAGGGTAGGGGTCACTAAAATCATGATTAATTGATGTACTATTTTCTTTACGGTTAAAGACATAAATTCTTGGCTTTTAATATTCCTGATTGGTGTTGAGCACATGCAAGTAAACAACTTTAAACAGTCTTTCTTACTGGATTGCAATGGAAGCAAAAAGAAGTGTATTTTACAGAGAAGCAGTCTTTGAATCCTCCACAGTGGCACACAGTTTTGTGAAAGTGGAGAACAGGGACAAAGTTCTACTGCTTCCTGTTTCTGGCTTTCCAGCACTCACTATGGAACAAGAACTTTCCACACATAACCTTGCTCCATCCTTGTGATGGGCCTATGCAGTTAGGACTGTCAGCATCCACCTTTACAGCCCAGCAACCTGAGGCTAAGGGAGGTTCAGACTCTGCCCCTAGCAGACAGCAAGCATGAAGACAGTCTAAAACCAGATTTTTTTTTTAATTGAGCATTATATTGGCTCACAGGCAAAAGAGTTACTTACTATTTGATTTCTATCATGGACAGTCAACAGTGTCTGTGTCTCTGCAACAAGAGAGAGAGAGAAGCAGTAAATAATAGTTAAGAATATGTTCTTATATCTGAAAAATTTTGAAGATGTCTATAACTCATTTAGAACTCATTTTACTCCATACTGTTTGTAATACATGGGAGACCAATAAAATTGACTTGACTTTAGTCTGATCACATTTTTTCACTTAGATAATGATCCCTGTTCCATGTTTGATGAAATGGAGACTTTTGTCAGGAAGTCCTATGTTGAAGATGTAATCTGCTTTGCCCACGGGACCAGTGTGAGTTCTACAAAAACCCAATGATGTAGATAATACTCAGGCATTAATTCAAATTAGACTTTGAAAGACAACAGAAAATTATTTTCTTGAAAATTTTTACCAGTTACTTATCAGAAGAAAGTATTCAGTTGCCTACAAATGGAAATAATATCTAATAACTATAACTGTAATTTACCAGGAGTCAGGCATTATGCTAAACATTTTAATGAAGTATCTCATTTAGCATTCAAAACAACTACCCTGCAGTATCCTTACTCCGTTTATATAGATGAACTGGAAAGTTGGGAAGTGACTTACCCAAGGTCACACAGCTTGGTGAGTGACAGAAATAGCCTTCCAACTGAGCATATGTGCCTTTAAATATGCACTCTAAACGAAACTGCCTTCAACAATGTTCCCCTCGCATTGTCACACTATGCAGAGGTTCGCCATGCTCAGGTGCCTGCTCATCTTTCCTTTGGGTTCATTTATTTCTCCCTCTGCTTAGTCATTCAAAGGCTATGCAGTACCTCTCTACCCTACGCCAGGCACAGGGAACAGAAAAGCAAACTAGATGGACACAGGCCCTGACCTTGTGGATACTGCCTTCTAAAAATAAATAGACTGTCATCTCTGGGAAAACTAAACATGGTTACACATTTTTCTGGCTAAGTCAGAGAATTTGTAATTCCTCAAATGTAAGGATCATCTTTTGAAAGCTTTAAAATATAAATTATTTTAATGTGTGTAAAGTGTTCAACCAAATGCTCAGTTAGCAGACTATAATTTACATATAAAGGCAGTCTCAAACTTAAAACTATTCAAAAAAAAAAAAAAAAAAGCAGAGGTAATGATTCAGTTACCTTTGCTCTTATTACCCAGAAGAAATTTAAAGCATGGGAACCATGTAGACAGAACTTCTAAGTAAACATGAATCTTAACCACAAGTAAGAATTTCAAAGGGAATTTCAGTTCTTACTTCCCAATAATCATTTCTCTTAGTTTAAATGGGAAGGCTTTTTTTTTTTTTTACTTAACTTTGTTATGAAACTGATCAGTAATACACAGCACTGTTGTGTTACAACAGTTACTTTCATACACATTTGGCCATCAGCCACACTGAATGGGGCAGTGAGAGGAAGAGCAATGTCTTTCTTAGAGAATGCAAGACTTGGCTAGGGTAAGGCAGTGGCTATGGGATGCGACACTCATAAAATTACTGCATAAACTTAGTAGTTGCCACCCATTCAGAACTAATTACATGATAGACACTTCACTTAGCAATATAAAAGCACAATGTAACTTTACGCTCACCACAATAAGGACCTCTACTATTTCACACATTTCTCAGATGAAGAAACTGAGTCTCAGAGAGCTTCTTTGCCCCAGATCATACAACTACTCATTGGAAAGTTGGGGTTCAGAACAGTTCTGTCCCAGAGGTGGAGACGCACCTGCGACCCAGTCCTGCCTTCTTCAGGCAAAACAGAGAATGCCTGTGTTTGTTCTGTGTTCAAGGTGGGTTTAGGAGATTCCACAGCTCTTGGAACTCTAAAGATTCCACTGCATTTATACCAAACCTATCAGATGCACCCACATCCCACATTTTAAAAAAAATTATATTTAACTACCTAAGAGTTGACTTGCTGGTGACTAGTTGACATAATGTTACATGTTACAGACAAGCCATTAAATATTCATTCATTTCCGGTTTTTATCTTTCTATTTTTGAATCATTACTTATTTAAATATTTTTTTAACCACATCCTTGAAAAGTTCAGACTCTATGTACTAAGCCAATATTCTCGTATGCAATAGATAGCCTGATTTTTGTTGCCCTGAAGTGAAGGAACTACAGAGAAGGAGACTTGTGTTTGTGGTATGCTTAAGTGCAAGGGAAGGTACTGTCCCATGAGGAAGTGAACTCCCATCCCTATATGCCTGTATGTATGAGATTATGTAGTATTTACCCATTCACTGCTGATGTTGCAAAGTTCATTGAAGCCCAGGATAGGAAATTGGAACTAAACAACTCCTCAAGTCCCTTCTATGCCTCTGAATTTAAGTTCTTTAAAATATAACAATGACATACTATAAACATGATATGACTTGATTAGCCCAAAACCTGAGTGATCATCTGTTCCCACCATAATTAACTTCATCAACTGTGTAAGATGTGCTGGCTCCCCATCACTGGGGTGGTGAGGCAGGAGATAGTACTGAACCCTTGTAAATTAAAAATTAAGGGGCCAGCACTGTTTCACAGTAGGTTAATCCATTGCCTGCAGCACCTGTATTCCATATGGGTGCCGGTTTGAGCCCCAGCTGCTCCACTCCAATCCAGCTCCCTGCTAATGTGCCTGGAAAAGCAGTGGGTCCCTGAACCCACGTGGCAGACCAGGAAGAAGCTCCTGGCTCCTAGTTTCCACCTGGCCCAGCCCTGGCTATTACAGCCATCTGGGGAGTATACCAGCAGATGGAAAATTCTCTCTCTCTCTCTCTCTGCCTCTCCCCTTCTCTGTAACTCTGCTTTCCAAATAAATAAATCTTTCTTAAAAATAAAAGTAAAGTGTTATTATTATAACAATAACTAATATTTGAGTGCTTCCTATGGGCAAGGTACTCTGCTGAGCACTTCACCTCCATTCTCATGTTGAATTTTTACAGCACCTTAGGAAGTATGGATGGAAAACCCTTTAAGGTAGAGATAAAGGAACTGATGTCAGAGTGTTTAAAAAAAACCTTACTAAGTTCACAGAGCTCATGAGAAGAGCTGAACTGAGAACCTGCTCACTTATTACAGAAGTACTTAACCACAATCTCATTCTGCCTCATCATCTTACTGATGGCACTAATGACGATAGTTATTGAGTGCACACTGTACTCATACCCTGAGCTAAGCAATTTTGACTTTCAACTTTGCATTTAAATCTTATCGTATGAGATTGGTTTTAATAGACTCACCAATTATCATCTCATTTTGTAGGGGAAAAAAAAAGAGCTCCAAAGAGTCAGAGAGACCAGGGCTCTGACCAGAAATAACTCAAGATTAACCTCCTTGATCAGTGAGTCTGAGGTCTGTCCTTTCTGCTCTCCCTTCTCTTCCCTGGGAATGTTCTTGAAGAATTACATGAAGCACTCAGCTGCTCCTTCTAAGGTGGGAATGCAAAGAAGCTGATGAGCTTTATCCCAGTTAGAAGAAGTGAGAATCAAAAAGTTCATGAAAATGTGTATTGTGAGAAATCCATGTGTGGATTTCAAAATTTTTTGCACCAAAATAAATATATCTTTTAATTCTACTTTCCATGAACTTCCTAAAATACTGTCATTTTGGAGACAGCATTGTGGCATAATGGTTAAAGCTACTGCCTGAGATGCCAGCATCCCATATGAGCATTGGTTCGAGTAATGGCTGCTCCATTTCTGATCCTGCTCCCTGCTAAGGTGCCTGGGAAACCAGCCAAAGACAACCCAAGTGCTTGGTCCCCTGCATCCATGTGGGAGACCCGGAAGAAGCCCCTGACTTCTGGCTTTGGTCTGACCCTACCCTGGCTGTTGTGACCATTTGGGGAGTAAACCAGCAAATGGAAGATCTCTCTCTCTCTGAATGTGTGTGTGTGTGTGTGTGTGTCCCTCTCTCTGTAACTCTGCCATTCAAATAATTAAAATAAATCTTTTGGGGGAAAAGAAAATATAGAAAAAAATACTCTCATATTAGTCTCCAGACACAGACTAGGGCCAATCCATGATAAAACATCACCAGTCCAGGAGTAAATGAGACATTGATAACGGCAATGTTAGCAGTTTTTTCACTAAATCAAATGTATTTAATATTTAAGAAAAAGACTTGTTTTTTAATTTAGGGTTTTTTTTGTTTTGTTTTTTTGTTTTTTTGTTTTTTTTGACAAGCAGAGTTAGACAGTGAGAGAGACAGAAAGGTCTTCCTTTTCCGTTGGTTCACCACCCAAGTGCCCGCTATGGCCAGCATGCTGCGCCGATCCGAAGCCAGGAGCCAGGTGCCTCCTGGTCTCCCATGCGGGTGCAGAGCCCAAGGAATTGGGCCATTTTCCACCGCACTCCTGGGCCACAGCAGAGAGCTGGCCTGGAAGAGGAGCAACCAGGACAGAATCCGGCGCCCCAACCGGGACTAGAACCCGGAGTACTGGCGCCACAGGTGGAGGATTAGCCAAGTGAGCCGTGGCACCGGCTTTTTGATTTAGTTTTAAGTTAAAACATAAATAATGACTAAAAGAGTGTCCATTTTAGCACAAGGATGGCTTCATGAAAAGAAGACTTGTTTTTCCCTTATTTGGCAAAACATGTAGATTACCAAAACTTTTTCTTGGGAAGTGGGGAATTTTACTGGGGCATGAAATTTAAAACTCTCTGAACCCACTCCTTAGACAGAAGAGGAAGCTGTATTCCAGAGAAGTGAAAGACCTTGGCCCAGGTCACATGGCTGGCTAACTCTGAATGCTAACCCACGGAGTCTTTTCCCCAACACAGGTGCGTCTCCACCATCTCCCTCCCCTCAAACACTATGCCATACCTCAGGTACAGAGAATATTCACATTTGGACTCCTAGACTGTTTTCCCAACCGTTTCCTATGTTTAGAACCCTCTGAACTGAGAAACCAGCTAAAAGCTTCCTCCCATGTCCCATGCGTAATTACCTGAGCCTTGTTCCTTGGTGGTGAGCATCCTCGGAAAGGCTGTAGTCCGGTCTGTCTGTGCAGTCGGAGCAGGGGTGACCTTGGCTAATGACAGAAGCCAACATAAAGGTGAGGCTTCTCTGAGAGCACAGAGCTTGTTTCAGGGGATTAAAGGAGAGGCAGGAAAACCAGGGAAGACAACAAATAAAGAGAAACATATCCTCAGCTCCCAAACCTACCCAGACACCTTCACCTAGCGGGCGTCACTCATTTCCACTGTTTGGCAGAGTTGAGATGCAGTCCTCACTATTACAGTTTCCTTGTTAACAGAACTAACAACCACACACCTGGCTACGCTAAAACACCTGAATACAAATTATCTCAAAATCTTTCTGGTGGCTTCAATGGTAAATTTTATTTTATATTTTATAAGGAGGAGAACAGAGTTTAAATACTTGCCCAAGATTACATGGCTTGGAAGAGGTACACCAGAATTTGAATTTTGCCTTACCTGGGCACAAAATGGGTACTCTGTAAATCTTGAAACATACAATCACATGCACTCCCCCACCCACATGCACAATCCAGTGGTTCATAATCCAGGTGGCGTCTGGCACAGACTTTGTATAACACTAATTCTCAGACTCAGCCTGCAGAGAAGCTGATTTCTCTGGATTGAGGGTGGGGCCCGGGCATCTGCAGTTGTTTAAAAAAACACTCTACATGTGATTCCATAGAAGAATTGGGGTTCTGAACCATAGGTATAGGCCTTTCTTCCATAGATCCTGGCTGTGAGCAGCAAAACAGATGCAAGGTATGAAACAGCACTGGGCATCCCTGGTGGGCCCTGTCAAATATTCAGTCTTGAAAGCCAACCCCCAGGGCCATAATTAAAGAGGCCAGAGGTGAAAATAATCAGTATATTTAATAGGACCCATAGGTAAATCTTATGCATAAAGAAGGCTGCAAAGTCCCACTCACCTGATATGATGACCAACTCCAGGGTTAATTTGCCATCATTCATTGGGCCTGGGTACTGTATTCGGCAGCAGTAGGTTCCGCTGTCTGCTGGGGTCACATTCTCTATGAGCAGGGACACGTCTCCTTTGCGGAAATCTCCCTTTAGGTGGTATCGGCTGGACTTCCGATAGTTCACACTCCTCTCACCAATGCCGAGCACCATGTCGTGGCATTGAAACACAGGGCAGACCCCCCTGCCCCAGCACACAGGCACGAGATCCCCTGAGGAGGCTGGAGTGTATCTGCAGGGCAGAAGGGCGTTCTGACCCACCTCAAATACGTTTGTCAACTCCAAAGACCCTGAAGGGAGAGGGAAAGAAATTAAGTCCCTTGCAACGTGTGAAGTGGGCCCATCTCGGGGAAATGGCAGGTAATGCTTTACAGAATGAAGATGAAACCACTGCCACTGGTGAGTTTGGAGGATGACTAATTGTGGCAATGATCTGCAAGAGATCAGAAGCACTGGGGAGCCTTGTTAAGATGCAGATTCCGCATCTACCCAGTTGGTCTAGGGTGGAGCCTGAGAACTTGCATTTCTTTTTTTTTTCTTTTCTTTCATCTCGGACTGTGGTGGATTCACAGGCAGAGTGGACAGTGAGAGAGAGAGAGAGACAGAGAGAAAGGTCTTCCTTTGCCGTTGGTTCACCCTCCAATGGCCGCCGCGGCCGGCGCGCTGCGGCCGGCGCACCGCGCTGATCCGATGGCAGGAGCCAGGAGCCAGGTGCTTATCCTGGTCTCCCATGGGGTGCAGGGCCCAAGCACCTGAGCCATCCTCCACTGCACTCCCTGGCCACAGCAGAGGGCTGGCCTGGAAGAGGGGCAACCGGGACAGAATCCGGCGCCCCGACCGGGACTAGAACCCGGTGTGCCGGCGCCGCTAGGCGGAGGATTAGCCTAGTGAGCCGCGGCGCCGGCCAGAGAACTTGCATTTCTAACAGCTCCCAGGTGTTGCTGATATGGCTGGTCATGAAATATCATTTTCAGAACCATTGTCCTAGGAGAGAACTGTGTCCTAGGAGCTCGCTCTGTGAACATGAGAGGACAAGGCTATGGAAAAAGAAAATCAGACAGTGGGTCATTGTTAGCCAGGAAAAAGGCCCACCTGTCTGGGCTTGTCTGTTCATCAACCAACGGTGCTTTCACTAACATAAATTGCTCTCTTATTTTAAAAACCTGTTTATTTACTTACTTCAAAGGCAGAATAAGAGAGAGAGAGAGAGAGAGAGAGAGAGAGAGAGATGGGGGGTGGGGAGAGAGATCTTCCATACACTGGTTCACTTCCCACATGGCTCCAATAGCCAGGCCAGCCCAGGCTGAAGCTGCCAGGAACTCCATCCAGGTCTCCTACATGAGTGGTGGAGGTCCAAGTTCTTGGGCCATCATTACTGCCTCCCAGGTACATGAGCAAGGAGCTGGATTTGAAAGCAGAGTATCCAGGACTCGAACTGGCACTCTAATACTTGGGAATCCCAAGCAACGGCTTAACCCACTATCCCTCAACAGCCGCCCCTCTCTCTTACTTTTTTCTTTAAAGCACCAGGTAAAAACATTTGCCCAAATAAGCTTATACATTTGAAACCACTCACAAGTTGCCTGGAATTTTAAAATCAATTTCTTTAAAAGTATAACATGTATACATCTATATGCAGGAAACCATTCAAGTAGCATAAAAAGGGTGATCCCCTCTCCCACCTCCTTCCTATTTCCCAGCTGCTCTTCCTGGAGCCTACACATTAGGAAACGTCCACATATTCCTGCTCCCCTGCGATGTAAACACACACACACACACACACACATGCACACACACACTCAGAAACCTAAAACAAACATCAGTCTGTCCTTTGCTTCTTTCAGTAACAATACGACTTGGAGACATTCTATACCATTAAGTTTTGTCAACTTCATTGCCCCATCATACGTATATCACATGTATTTCCTCACTCTACCACTTACAGATATTTATGCTGCTTTAAAACTTTTGTTATCACAAACAGTGTTTCTATGGCCATGCTTATATCCCTCTCTCGTGCACTCCAAACAACACCATTCTCCCGTTGTAAATATCCACACCCATACTTACTTGTAGGTAGCAGCAGCAGCAGCAGCAAGGCACAGTCAAAGCAAAGATGTGAAAACATGGGTTCTGCAGAAGAAACACCAAAGGATGGCTCTAGTTAGGCACTGTTTGAACTGAGTGCTTCCTCTGCCTGTGTCTCCACTCCACAATCGTATGAGCAGTAGTCACCCTTGAGGATCACCACAAGCACACCAATGATTCCTGTACTGATGCTACCACGTCTACTGTCACAAAAAAGGGAAGCCCCAGTTTTATGTCACGCCACACCACACACATCCTGTATGCACTCTGATATTTATTCTCAGATGTCTACAAAGAGGAAGCAGTACTGGAGGGGAAGAAATGTATTAGTGAGGGCAAGTAGAAAGAGCCTTCTAAAATCTCAGATGAAATAGGCCTGAAATGGACCAGCCCACCCGCCTAAGGGGTAACACAGAGTATGACTGTATCATTCATGCATCGATCCAGTCAAGCCAGTCCACCAGGCAGATTGTGGACTAATGTCTAGGAAGTACCTGCTTGCTGCCAGACCCTGGACCAGGAGCCCGAAAGTGCAGCAATGACCGCTATGCACCTCATCCCTACATTTATTGACCGTCTACACCCAGTCATGAGCCTGATAACATAGGTAAGGTTGTGTTCTATAACCTTGCAAGATCTGTGTTCCTCATTTATAACATGTATAATATGGGGATATTGTGTTAGGTGAAGATGGACACCTCTCAGCTCTCATTTTCTGACTTTGACATTTACACCCTCAAACTTACCATCTAAAGAAAGATGTATTCCTTCTGCACTGCTTCTTTCCCTCTGCCCTGGATGCAGCTGGGGGGACCTCAATGTCCATCTTCCTCTCATGCACACAGGTGGCCCTTTTCCCCTATCCTGGAAGGTTTCAGGTATGAAATTCAGAAAACGCTGATTTCCAGCCATGTATCCATTATACTGAGGTAAAATTTCTAACTCAAGGAGGGTGACTTTTATCTGGATACCTTAAGAGCCAAAGCTTCTTGACAAAAAGGAAGTGAGTCCACAGACAGTGGCTTCGGAAAATCCTGTGGCCTTTCTCAATGTCTGGGTTTGCTGAGTTTCCTTGTCAGTCACCTTTATGCTATTAAATGCATTTACTATGAATATGGAACTTGCTCCAAGTGCATACTTTTATAGTGTCATAGAATGGCAGGTATTCAAGAGGTCTTAGTTAATTGCCCCATTTTATAGAATGCAAGTCCCCAAGCTCCAAATTTTCTGACTATAAACTGTTGCAAAACTTAATTTTGTCCTCAATTTGTCTGCTCACATAACTAATAACAACCATCACATGCCCATATTGAAGTATGAGGTAGTGTGAATTAAACAGGGGTTGGGTTGACATTTACGAGCTGCACGGCCTTGGGCAGGGGTCTTGAAAGCATCAGTCCTCAGTTTCTATGTTTGTTCTGGCTTTATGACTCTCTTGTCTGTGCATCTCTGGAATTGCTGCTGAGAGCTGCATTCTAACACATTAATGATTTCCTGATCCTTAACTTGTAGATATGAAGGAGCCTAGAGATCTGCTCTAATCCTTTCTTTTTTCTGTGTGTGTGGTGGGGGAGGGATGGTTAATTTCTATTTCTTACATGTTTTTGAAAATTGTGTAGGTTAATCCATAAGCTGTACTTTGGAAATCTATATTCGTTAAATAAAAGTTAAAAAAAAAACATTAAACCATAAAAAAAGAAAAAGAAAATTGTGCAGGTAATGTACTAGCCCACTTTCCGTTATTGTAACAAAATGCCTGCACCTGAAAAACTCACAAAGAGGTTTAGGGGCCACGCTGTGGCATAGTGGGTAAAGCTGCCCTGCAGTGTCGGCATCCCGAATGGACACTGGTTCAAGACCCGGTGGCTCCACTTCCAATCCAGCTCTCTGCTATGGCCTGGGAATGCAGTAGAAGATGACTCAAGGCCTTGGGCCTCTGCACCCATGTGGGAGACCTGGGAGAAGCTCCTGGCTCCTTCCTGGCTTCGGATCTGCACAGCTCCGGCTGTTGTGGCCATCTGGGGAGTGAACCAGCAGATGGCAGACATGTCTGTCTGTCTGTCTGTCTGTCTCTCTCTCTCTCTCTCCCTCCGCCTCTCCTTCTCTCTGTGTGTGTAACTGTGACTTTCAAGTAAAATAAATAATAAAATAAAAAAGAGGTTTATTTAGCTCCTTGTTCAAGGGCATTGCACTAGCATTAGCTTGACTCTGGTGATGATCTCACCATGGATAACACCATAGGGAAGGAAGTCTACATGAGAGGGAGAGACCTCATGGTAGGGCAGGAAGACTAAGGAAGGAAAGAGTTCAGGCCTCCCTTCTTTATAACCAGCCTCTCTTGAGAACTAACTCTGAGACCCATGAGAATTATCTTCACCCATTCTAGGAGTGATGTCCCCTCTGGCCTAATCAACTCCTACTAGGCTCACAAACTACATCACCACCTGGGGACTATGCTTCTAGAACAAGAATTTTTGGCAGACAAACTACGACCAAATCATAGCACTCATCCCTGGGCCTCACAGCACATGTCTCCACAATACAAAGGGCATTCTTTCTGTGTCAACAGTCCCAAAGTCGAAACTTGTTCCAGCACCACTAGAAAGTCCAATTTTTAAATCTCCTCTGACAGTCAAGGAAAACTCTTTCAGCTATGAGTTCCTATATAATTGAAAAACAAGTTATCTATTTCTAAGATACAATGGCAGCCCACAGATAAGATACACATTCGTATTCCAAGAGGAAAATACAGGTAACTAGAAAGGAGGAATCAGCACAGAGCAAGACCAAAACCCAGCAAGGTAGACATTGAATATGAAAGTCCCAGGTCTGGCATCCTGTACAGACTGCAGCAGTGGGGTGGCCCCCAAGGCCTCAGGCAGCCCTGCTTCTGTGGCTTTGCAGGTTGGAGGCCACACAGCTCCTCTGTGACTGGTGCTTGCAAGAGGCGGACACGGCCCGGTGCTGATGGCTCTGCCTTGCTGTCGTGTCTGCTGTTGCTCTGCTCCCAGAGCTTCCCGAAGGCACTCTCCCAGTGGGGAATCTCGCAGGGATGCTGTCCCTGGAGCCAGTTTCTGCCTGGCTTCCCATGGTGGCTTTGGAATTGTGGTAGAAAATGCCATCTCCCTACAACTCTTGGATTCTGTCTTCAACCAGCACAACACAGACAGCACAAAGTTCTGCCACCTGAATTAAGTGGCACCTGGGCCTGTTATATCACATATCCAAAGCCCAGAGCACTTCAATCAAAAGAAGAGAGGTAAATCCCAAGGCAGCCAGGGCAGCAAGCCTGAGCAGGACACTCAGGGCACTTTCATAAAATGATCCTGCTCCGAGAGCTTTCAAGGTCTGTGATGGGAAAGGCAATCTCACAGATTCCCGAGATGCTCCCTGAGCCTCTCTCTCACTGTCCTGATGCAAAGCAACCGAGTCCTTCCTATCTGCACTATTCTCTTCAGCAACAGGTCACTCAGCCACATCCATTAACCCTTTTCCTTTTCCCTCATCACAGACCTGCCTGCAAATTTCCCAAGTCTTTCTGTTCTGTTTCCTTTTGATCTCAAGTCTCGCTGTGCATCTGATTAAAAGCACCCATGTTACCATTGCCACTGCCTGGATGATTTGCTGTTTAGAAATTCCTCCATGGGGCCAGCGCTGTGGCGTAGCGGGTTAACGCCTGGCCTGAAGCACAAGCATTCCATATGGGCGCTGGTTAGAGACCGGGCTGCTCCACTTCCGATCCAGCTCTCTGCTAAGGCCTGGGAAAGCAGTAGAAGATGGCCCAAGTCCTTGGGCCCCTGCACCCGTGTGGGAGACCCAGAAGAAGCTCCTGGCTCCTGGCTTCGGATCAGCACAGCTCCGGCCGTTGCTGCCAATTGGGGAATGAACCATTGGATGGAAGACCTCTCTCTCTCTCTCTCTTTTTCTCTCTGCCTCTCTTCTCTCTGTAACTCTGACTTTAAAATAAAGAAATCTTCAAAAAAAAAAAAAAAAAAAAGAAATTCCTCCACCAGATAAACTAGTTCATCATTGTTAAATTTAGCTTCCCATAAAGCTCAAGTATGTGGACACAGTTCTGTCAAGTTCTTGGCAATGATATAAGAAGGATGACCTTTACCAATTTCCAATGGACCCTCATTTCTACGTGAGAGTAGCTTCCTTGTCCTCATCTCCTGAGCTCTCAGCAGAATCACCCATAATGCTCTATCTATAGCATTTTCTATCTTGTTCCCCCAAACTCTTCCACCCTCTGCTCATTAACCAGTTCCAAACCCACTCGCACATTTTCTGGAACAGTTGTAGTAACAATCTTACACCTTGGTATCAATTCTCTGTATTAGTCCGTTTTTCTATTGCTTTAATGAAATACCTAGGAGTTGGTACCTAACAAAGAAGTTTGCTTTGTTTACAGTTTCAGAGCTTGAAAGACAGCCCCATTGATTTAGCCTCTGATGAGTTTCCAATGGCAGATGGCATCACAGTGAAAACATGTGCGAGATAGAGAGAGAGAGAGAGAGAGAGATCCCATGGTGAGACGGGAAACCAGAGTGTGGGAGAGGCCAGGATTTCTCCAAATAACCCCCTCTGGAAAACAAACTCTGGATCCCAGGAGAACTAGCTTCATCCCTTCCAAGGGCAACGCTTTCTATAGCCTAATCAGTTACTACTTGGCCTCACCTTTTAAAGTTCCCACTCCTCTGAATCTGTTACACACTGATATCAAGCTCCCAACACATGAATCTTTGGAATACAAACCACCTCCAAAGCATAGCAGGTAATATGCTCAAATGACTGAAGAAAATAGAGCAATATAAAAAGCTAATATTTTTTTTTTTTTTTTTGACAGGCAGAGTGGACAGTGAGAGAGAGAGACAGAGAGAAAGGTCTTCCTTTTGCCGCTGGTTCACCCTCCAATGGCCACCGCTGCAGCCGGCGCACCGCGCTGATCCTGGCAGGAGCCAGGAGCCAGGTGCTTTTCCTGGTCTCCCATGGGGTGCAGGGCCCAAGCACCTGGGCCATCCTCCACTGCACTCCCTGGCCATAGCAGAGAGCTGGCCTGGAAGAGGGGCAACCGGGACAGAATCCGGCGCCCCAACCGGGACTAGAACCCGGTGTGCCGGCGCCGCAAGGTGGAGGATTAGCCTATTGAGCCACGGCGCCGGCTCTAAAAAGCTAATATTAAGAAGCCCTGCTCTCACCCCTCCCTATTTCTCCCACCTGCCCTTGAGGCTTCTGTTTTCATAAGTCTCTTGTGTCTACACCTAATACAAAAATAAGAAAGTGAAATACGTATTTGTATTAACTCTTTTATTAGGCAAAATAGGATACCACATACACTTTTTGTACCTTGTGTTTTATTTTGCTATTGTATTTGCTGATGTGTTTTTTAAAAACCCCAGACAGGTTATTTCAGTCTTAGAAACTTTAGTGTGCATCTTCTTTTTTAAAAGTGGAATTCTGCTGCATAATACCAGTATCACATAACAGAGTTAATAAAGATGCCCTCACAACACCTCATATTGCAGTCCATAATCAAATTGCCCAGATTATCCTTTTTCAATTGGTTTGTTTAAATCCAGACCCAAACAAGCTCCACACGTGGCATTTGTTGTGTCTCTAGAGTCTCTTTTAATCTAAGCCAGTCTTCCCGCCACCCGCCAGCCACAGGTGGTTATGCTCACACAAACCAGCTGTCCTGTGGAATGTTCTACATCCTGGGTTTGTCTGTTCTTGTGGTGTCATTGGCCTTGTTATTCTTTTCTTTGTATTTCCTGCAAATGAAATTTGTCACTCGAGGTTTAGGTTTAACTTTTCAGGTTTAAATTTTTGGCAAAAATACTCAGAGCTGTAACCTGTGCTTCATATTTCATCATAGTAGTCCTATTGCCCCACATGTTCAGAGGTCAAGGTTGACCAACTTGCAACTTTCTTTTTAAACTTAACATTATAATCTTAAATTCTTTATATTTTAGCTCACATAGAATATCCTTATCCTTTATTACACCTACAAAAATCCCAGTGGAGGAAAACACTGGAAGAAAATAGCAAAGCTTTAATTCCCTTTCATATGAACTCTTCCTGCTTCAGTTTTTTGGAAAGGTGATCCTGAAAGATCCACCAAAGTCTACAGTTTTTTAATTACACATAGTGGGAGTTTTCTTTTTGAAAGGAGCCTTTGAGGGCAGACGTTTGGTGCAGAGGTTAAACTTGGGGTTGCTGCAAACCGTATCAGAACGCCTGGTTCAAATTCTGGCTACTTCACTTCTAATCCAGCTTCCTGAGAATATGCACCCTGAGAGACAGCAGACCATGGCTCAAATACTTTAGTCCATGCCATCCAGAGATCTGGGATCCTGGATTTGGCCTAGTCCAGCTCCAGCTATTGCAGACATTTGAGTAATGAACCAGGAGATGGTAGATCTCTCTCTCTCTCTCTCTCGGCCTTTCAAATAAAATGAAAATAAATAAATAAAAGTTTTTTTAAAAAAGGAAAGTATGGATGTTTCTGACAAAGTCTTTTCTATTATGATTAATTAGCTTCTGAACTATGTTTAGAAACTTGAATCACAAAATTTCTGAATGGCCACTTGTTACATGTTGGCTTTAATTACTTAAAAGGATATTTGGTAGAGGTTAATTTTTTTCCACCCTTTAGGCATCAAGAAAAGTGGAGGAAATCTCAGACTCCTTAAATATAGCCTCCATGCTCTGAATGAAAATATGAGAATTATGCCTAATTAGAACTGCACAATAATAGATAATTAAGGGACCACTTGACAAAATTCATCAGGTCAAAGGTAAAGAATTTTACCTTGGTCAGGAGACAGAAAAACATGGTTGACATAAATGAGACTACCTGGGAAAGCTCAGTCCAGTTGGAATCTATGCTATGTGATGGAGAAGGGCAGTAGAGTGGGTACTGGGGAGTAACCACAATGATCACTGAGGTATATGTACTTGATTGGAGTTGATAATCCATTATTAGTTAAAGTACAATATATCAGTATTCTACACGGACTAGCAGACCCAGAATTTTATAGAGGGAAATGCTGAGGTTAGTTATCAAGGGTAAGAGGTTAAGTTAAACAACTCTGAGAGAGCTTCTGACTTCAAGATTGCAGTGAGTTTTGTCACTTCGCTTTAAAAGCACTTATCACCTGGTGTGTTTCTACAGTATTTTTAAAAATTCATCATGTAAGTAACAAATACTGTAGAACATTCTGAAATATATGAAAAAATGCAATAAAACAAAGATTATAATGCCAGTACCATGAGATAACCACTTTCAACATAACAGGTCCACTGTTTTTCTACAGGCCTCCAAATGTTCACAAATGTTTCATTCCTTGTTAATGGCAGTATGTCCCAAGGGTATATTATCAGAAAAAGCTGCGGACAACTGTGACCATCATGAACACACAGGCATCCAAGACAAGGTACAAAACAATTTTTGTGTTCCCTATTAAGTCTCTGTCAGTTTGTAGACACTACATCAGATGGAAATAATTTTATTTTTGTGGTCTCGATCCTCTCATTTGTGGTGTGTTATTTTCGACACCTTTATCCTCCCCACAAGGTAAAGGGTGTTTCAGACCATGAGATCCTGAACATACCTGGAAGGAACTCTCAGGGCCTTCAGAACGTTTACCAAGACAAATACATTTCTCCTTTGCTACTGACTCTCTCTCACAGTAAGACTCTGGGTGTTCTTACCAGGATATTAGCATGTGTGTTTGCCAGTAAACTGTCTCAACAAAGACCCAATGATTTATTTATGCTGAAAATAACAGAAAGCCCAGTGGCAAGCAGCTTAAACTCTATAAAATGTATTGAGTGGCTGAAAATATTGAAAAATCCAGATTCCATCATGGTTTGATTCACTGGCCCCAGTGAAGTTACCGAGGACCTAGATTCTAGCTGAAATAGGCACACGATTGTCTAATGCTGGCTACTTTCTCAGATTCCATGAGGACCCCCTTGCACACCTACAGCATTCACATGCACACATCTGGAACAACTCTTGGCTATTCTCGCACAGGTTCAGGGGTTCATGCATCCTCAAAGGCTCAACTTGACTCGTTCCTGGACAATCACTGCACCAAAAGGTTGAAAAAGCATAGGCCTGGATCATCTGCCCCAACCTCATGTCCTGAAAGTGAAAGAAGGGTACAGTGCATTGCAGGAAGAGAACTGGATGCTGGGCAGCAAAAATAATCGGCCACTAGAGACTCCCTCCAAGAAAAGGATGAGATGAGGAGATAGGGAAAGAAACCTGCCCCTCCAGACAGGTTTTCTTTTTCTTATTAACAAAATGGCATTTTACTAATGCAATGGTTTTAAGCTTACCAGGACATGTTCTTCACAAGCCTGACAAGAGATAAAGAGCTTGTGTGTTTGTAGAGTTTTTGTATTAGTAACCATGAGCGACAGCCAGATGGATGAGGGTCAAGGTCACCCTCGACACAGTGCCAGAGCCAGCTTAGAGCCTCTCCTGGGCTCTTTGCCCCACAGCACTAAGGGTGCGGCCCAGCAAGGACAAGTCAGCGCTCTGAGACATCACAACAGTTCCCCAGCAAGTGGCTTTCACAGGAAGGCAGTGCCGCCACTGCGTGAGGAACCAAACCTCTTCCAGCTAGGGGAAAGAGTGATGCTGTGGAAACAACACCCTTAATGGTCCAAATGGACCCTCAGTGAGCAAAACTGAAAGGGAGAAAAGGAGTCCACCAGCAAGGAAACTCTGCAGAGGGGTGAGTCAGTGTGCCAAGTCCCTCGGCAGGCTCCTCTTTTTATTTTTTTTTTAAAGCTGCTCTGTGGGTAAGGCTGTTCTTTTCTTTTTTTAAGCTTTATTTATTCAGTTGAAAGGTAGAGGTGCAGAAAGAGAGAGAGAGAGGGAGGGGAAGAGATCCTCCATCTGCTGGTTCACTCCCCAAATAACCACAAGGGCCCAGGCTGTAGCCAGGAGCTTCCTCCAGGTCTCCCACAAGGGTGCAGAAGCCCAAGCACTTGGGCCATCTTCCACTGCCCTACCATGCACACCCGCAGGGAGCCGGATTGGAAGTGGGGCAGGCGGGACCAAACTGGCACCCACATGGGATGCCTGTGCTGCAGATAAAAACTCAACCTTTTGTGCCACAGCGCTGACCCCTGCAGGCTTCTCTTGATAGAACAGGCCCTGTGCGCCCTGCAAGAGCCCTGCTGGTGGAGGGGCACATGAATGGCCTCCCTCCTTCAGAGTACCTTCCCCTGCATGCTATCTCTTCTTTCTTTCTGTTTTCTGGTCTTTTGTTGTTGTTGTTTTAAATATTTATTTGTTTATTTAAAAGGCAGAGTTACAGGGGTGGGGGAGATCTTAGATGCACTGGTTCACTCACTAAATGGCCGCAACAGCCAGAGCTGGGCCATGCTGAAGCCAGAGCTAGGAGCTTCTTCCAGGTCTTCTACATGGGTGCAGGAGCCCAGGTACTTGGGCCATCTGCAGTAAGGAGCTGGATTGGAAGTGAGGTAGCTGGGACTCAAACAGGCACCCACATGGAATGCTGGCACTATAGGTGGTGGCTTAAGCCTCTGCACCACAGTGCCAGCCCCTTCTTGTTCATCTTTTACTCTGGGTTCACATAGCTCAGCTGATCATCCTCTTTAGTTCACATGCTCACCATCAGTCCCAAGGAGGTCCCTTTCTTGTTTTATACCATTTTACTATTTTTCCCTCTAGCTCTGACCTGCATTCTCATTTTTCTGTTTTTTCATCGGCATCCCCTTCAAAGGGTAATGTTAAGCCTCTGTCTAAAACGCTTATTCCAGCTTCTACTTCCACTGGCAGTGAGGAGCTTCTGAGGCTCCAAGTCTTTGACAATACTCATTTTTAGTGAGACATTTTAACTGTTCCCAATACAACAGAATATGATGATGTCATAATATAGCATTAAGGTTAAACTTTTAATAGAAATACAAGACATACCAAACATCACAGTAACATAAATTTAGAGCTTACATATACTTTTGAAACAAACTCTCAAGTAATCAGTCCTCAAACAAAACATAAAACGATGCCAGCTTCCTAAAGTTGTGCTGACAACTCCACCCCAAGAATGGGTACCTCTTGCTAATCACACAGTCTCCCTTCCCCTTGTCCTACAGGCATTTGTTATACAGCATTAATAATAAAAGACAGATGTAAGTTCATCTATAGAGTATAATTTCATCATCCATGTTTACTTCTCAAAATTGTATCTAAAGTTCTGCTTGGTTTTAATTAATTTATTTTTGACAGATAGAGTGGACAGTGAGAGAGAGAGAGAGAGAGACAGAGAGAAAGGTCTTCCATTGCCGTTGGTTCACCCTCCACCACGCTGATCCGATGGCAGGAGCCAGGTGCTTCTCCTGGTCTCCCATGGGGTGCAGGGCCCAAGGACCCGGGCCATCCTCCACTGCACTCCCTGGCCATAGCAGAGAGCTGGCCTGGAAGAGGAGCAACCGGGACAGAATCCGGCGCCCCAACCGGGACTAGAACCTGGTGTGCTGGCGCCACTAGGTGGAGGATAAGCCTGTTGAGCCGCGGCGCCGGTCTGCTTGGTTTTCACACTGCATGAATTAAAACGTGCTGCACTTGACAGTGAGCTTGTGAGATCTATCTACGCTCCAGTGTGTTTCTGTAGGTTGCTTATTTACATGATAAAATAATTTTCCTGAGAATAGATTTATTTCAAATTCTTTGTTAAGTCTATCCTAAATGGACATGTCATTTTCCATTTCAATTACCATAAACAATGCCATTCTGGACTTTCTCATAGACGATCCTAGCACATGTGTATGAGTTTCACAGGGATATATTTCTGAGTAGAATTACTGAGTCAGAGGGTATAACTAACTTGGACCTTCTTAAATAACACTGATTAGTTTCCTAGACTCCTACCAGCAGCATGTAAGAATTTCTTATCTACATCTTCAACACTTGGCGTTGCCAGAGATGACTTTGTTAACTGTTTCATTTTTTGCAGTTCATTTTTGCTAAAGTGGTAAAGATATGGTAGCATCTCACTCTGACTTTAATTTGCATTGCCCTGGTTATAACAGGCTAAGCACTTTTTGTTTATGAATCATTTGGATTTTTTTTAAAGGTTTATTTTATTATTTATCAGAAAGGCAGAGTTACAGAGAGAGAAAGGGAGATACAGAGAGAGATCTCCCATTCACTGGTTCACTTCCCAAATGGCAGCAACAGCCAGGGCTGGGTCTCCCATGTGGATGTACAGGCCCACGCACTTGGGACATTCTCTGCTGGTTTTCCAGGTGCACTAGCAGGAAGTTGGATCAGAAGAGGAGCAGGCAGGACTCAAACCTGTGCCTACATGGGATGCTGGCATCACAGGCAATGGCTTTACCCAGTATACCACAATGCCAGCCCCTAGAATTTTTTTTTTTCCTTGGGTAAATGCTTGTTTAATTTCTTGGCCTATTTTTTTTTTTTTTTGGCTGGGTTGATATTTTTCTTATTGATTTATACAAATAATTATGTATCCTGGGTTATACTACCCTGCTGGTTTCATCTGTTGCAAATAGTTCCTCTCACACTTTTGCTTTTCACTTTGTTTATGGAATGTTTTCTTGAACACAGTTTCTTGATTTCAATGTAGTGAAATTGACCAATCTTTTCTAAGTAGTGCATTTTGTATTTTACCTAAGAAAATTTTCTCTTATTCAAGGATTGTGAAATTATTACCCACATTAGCCTGAAAAGCTTCGTACTTCTATCTTTCAGTTAGGTTTTAATCCTCCTGAAATGGACTTCTCATGTTGTATCCTAGCCCCTTTCGTTGAAAGTTCCAGCATTTATTGTATTTTCATTTGAGAGTCAGAGAGAGACAGAGAGAATCTCCTGGTTCATTCCTCAAATGCTTGCAATGGCCAGGGCTGGGGCTGAGGCAAGGAGTATTCCAGTTACATGAGACATCACCACTGCCTCCCAGGGTCTATATTAGCAAGAATGCTGGAACCAGGAGCCAGAGTTGGAACAGAATTCAGGCACTCCAGTGTAGGATGCCAGTTTCCTAACTACTAGGCTCGATGTCCTCTCCTAGAAAATCCCAGCATTTCCCCACTACCGTGTAACATCATCTCTGTTGTATTTCAAAAATCATCTAAGCATGGATCTGATTCCTGTCCTTCTATTCTACTCAAATTCTCTAAACGTGCTCACTGTCTTAATCACAGCAGCATTATAATAGAGGTTGATGTCATGTAGGGAAAATCCTTCCCCTCTGTCCTTTTTTGAGGTTATCTGTGTAGGTTCTTTGTAACTCCAACAATTTTGGAATCATCTTATCAAATTAAAAAAACAACTTGGCAGAAATGATTAGATTATGTTGAATCCATAGATTAGTCTGGACAAAATCTGACCTCTTTCAATGTTAAGTATTTCAACCCATAAACATTTTGTCTTCCTTTCTATTGAGGTTTATCATCTCTTAAAAACATTTAAAAATGTTCTCCACAAAAAGTCTTCATTTTTTTATTTATTCCTGGGCACTATATATATTCCTGATACTATTTCAAATGGTATCTTATTTTAAAATTTTTATTTTCTGTTTCTGCTGTATACTGAAATTTATTTTTTGAATATTCGGTTTTTTTTCTCAGCAACCCATAAACTCTAATAAGTCATCAGAGATTGTATTGAATTTTCTATGTTGACAATTATTTTCTACAACTAATAACTTAGTTTCTTCCTTTTCATACTTCTCATTTTTCTCCCTGTGCTATGCTGCTTAGAAACTCTAGTATACATTCTTTCCCAGAGTTCAAAGGCAAGGTTTCACATTCCAATTTGGGTATAATACATGCTACAAATTGTATAGAATAATTTATTATACTAAGGACCTTCTCTTCTATACTCAATGTTCTAGGAGTTTTTTCTTTTTAATGAGTGGATGCTAAATTTTATAAATGCCTTTTGCACATTTGTTGAATTGTTTGTCTTCTTTAGTATAGTGATAGAATACATTAATTTTCTATTCTGCACTGTGAGATAAACCATGAAACATTCAAGTTTTTTTATATTTTCGGACTTAACTTGCTAATTTACACAATCCCCATAAAGGAATGGGGTAATGTTTACTGTTTTTCTCTTCTGTAAGAGAGATTGTATAGATTAGAATTGTTTAAGTGTGTGTTTTCTGGCAATGTTTGGTCTGCATTATAAGAAAAATTTGAGTACTGATCTTTTTTTCTAAGTTGTTAGAAAACTACTCAGCTTCCTATTGAATTAGTTTTAGTAATTTTGTAAGAATTTATTTTGTCTAAGTTTTCAAATTTATTGGGATAAAGCTATTTATAATATTCTTTTATTCTGCTGTCTGCAATATCTATAGTAGCAACCCCCTCCCTTAATTTCTGCTATTGATTTTCCTTTGTCCCTCCCTCCTGCAAAGGTGATTAGAGAGTCTTGAGACCTGAGCATGTGGCTTGGAGGCAAAAGAGCTTCAGAAAGAATTAGTGGGAGTCTCTTCTTTCATTCTCAACATTAGATGCTACCTACACTAGACATGGGTACTGTGATTACCAAAGCTAAAGAAATTAAGTATCAATTGGTGTATCAATTTGGTGTATCAATAATACACCAAACCAAGGCTACACAGTTAATAACTGGTGGAGCCCAAATTTCAACATTCTGACATGTTTTCCAACACCAACCCATTCTGACACAACAGGTACCAATGAGGATCTAATGACTCAATCTAATGCTTTACACAAAGTACTCAGAATTAGGGTGTCACAAGTTTGAGTACCCTAGGAGGTAACTCCAGGTTTCTTCATTTTCATCCTCTCCACTGCTATAGCCCCTTAAACTTGAGGTAAGAGTGCCACTTACTGGTAGCCTGCTCACATTGCAATTTTTAAATTTTATTTTCACTTTATTTGAAAGGCAAAGATCTCCCATCCATTGATTCACTCTTCAAAAGGTCACAATTTCCAGAGTTGGGTCAAGACTGAAGCCAGGGGCCAGGAATACAATCCAGGTCTCCCACATGAGTGTCGGGAACCCAAGTACTTGAGCCATCAGTTTCCTCCCAGGGCATACATAAGCAGGAAGCTAGAAGAGGAAGTAGAACCAGTACTTGAATACACGCATTCTAATACGGGATGCAGGCATCTCAAGAAGCGTATTAACTGCCTCACACCGCAAACCAGCCCTTAGATTTAATTCTAAATCTCGGTGGTAGTCAAAAGACAGAAGACCCCATAGGAAGGATATTAGCTGAACTTTGATAGCTTAGCAAGTACTAGGAATTTTCTTAAGTATATTATACCCAGTCTGTCATTTAAACCTTAGAAAAATCCTATGAAGAAACTTCTAAAAATTTTTTACTGTATGTAGTTATCGGTAGCTTTGTGAAAACACTACAGGGTTAGATTTCAACTACCTAGATCACATGGTATCAGTTAAATCCAGTCTGCTGCTGTCTGATGTTGTATTCCCATAGCTAAGAATGTTACATGTTCAAAGAGTCAAACAAAGCCATAAGGCTACTTCATGTGTGAACATTACTGAAATTCAAATGTCAGCATGCATATATAAGGCTATATGAGAACACAACATTATAACTTGCATACATATTATCTATAGGAAGAGAAAACCATTCCACTGGGCTTTGAAGCCATGCAGTTGAATAATTTCAACAGAAACTGTGTGGCTCTCAAGGCCTAACATATTCACCAACTGAATATTTACAAAAGTTGTCAGTTCTCGATCTAAATTTCAACCTGAGCAAACTACAAATCCTAAGCCCCAGTTTTCATTACTAATAAACTGGGGATACCAACTAAGAAGAGTTTTTCTTAGAGATCTATTTATTTACTTATTTGAAAGGAACAGGAAGCCAGGGGCCGGAGGGACTATTCTATCCACTGCTTCATTCTCTATTTGGCCACAATGCCTTGGTCTGGGCCAAGATGAGCCAGGAACCAGAAACTCCATCCAGGTCTCCCATGTGGGTGGCAGGGGTCCAAGCACTTGGGCCATCTTCCACTACCTTCCCTGACACATTAGCAGGGAGCTGGATCAGAAGTAGCACAGCCAGGACTCTAACCAGCACTCACATGGGATGCCAGCATCACAGACAGCAGCTGAATGCACTGAGCCACACCAAAATCCAAAAGGGTTTTTAAGTTTAGAGCTATATGGATAGCATTTCCTATGGGCACAGGTTCGATTCCCAGCTGCTCTGCTTCCAATCCAGCTCCCTGCTAATGTGCCTGGGAAAGCAGTGCAAGATGGCCCAAGTGGTTGGGCCCCTGCACTCACATAGAAGGCCTGGCTCCTGGCTTCAGTGTGGCCCACCTTTGGCCACTGCAGCCATTTGTGTGGTGAACCAGCAGATGGAAGATCTGTCTCTCACTCGCTCTCTGTAACTCTGCCTTTCAAATAAAATAAATCTTTAAAAAATAATTTTAAAAAAGATGCTCATAGAAGTCTAAACTAAGATGTGGGTGTCTTAACATGTTCAAAGGAAACTCGTGATTTCTACCTTTCAACCTGTTCCTCCTTCAGTCCAGTATCAATGTAGTAAGTACAAGCATAGCCTTCAGGGTCAGAATACTGTCTACTTTACTGTGTGTTCACCTCTATGACTTGTCGGTAACACGATGGAACAGAAGTGTGATGGAGTATGGAGACCAAGTGCTAAGCTTTGAAACTAAAATCTGGGCTGCCACCCACTAGTTGCATGGCCCCAGGAATCTTATGTAACTTCTCTGCACTCCAGTTCCTCATCTGTAATAGGACTATAAACCTAAGAGTGATTTCCTTGGGATGTTGTGAGGATAAAATGACTCTTGTGTAGTAGTGATGAGAACAATGCTAGCAACATCCTATGCATGTGTCTGCAAGTGACTTCCCATCAGATTCAGGACTAAAAGTTCCTTCCCATGGCCACCTAAATCCACCTGCTTCTCTATCTCCAACTTCCTCCCTCACCATACGGCAGTCATGATACCTTTTCTCATTCAAATTATACCAACTTTAGGTCTTTCTCAGAAAATCTGCTATTTCCACTGACCTCAGAGCCTGGCACAGGCATCTTCTCTACAACACAGCACGTGAGTTGAAGTTGCCTTCCAAAGCCCTAAACAAACATGAACATGCAAATATATCTTAAAATGAAGATAATGTGGACAAGTTGTTTTGAATAGGTAAAACAGGAACATAAATAGCAGCACGGTTCTTCTGAGGGTACTGTAATGGTGGGGTAATTAATACAAAAACTGCTTTCAAATTTTAATTTATCTTACATTTTCCTTCTCCCTCCCCACACATCCAAAACCTAAATCACTGTTAGGCAGAGAGAACCACAATAAACATCCATTAAATGAATAGAGTGAAGAAACAGGGGGAAGCTATCCTCCCCAAGAACATGATTGTGACAATGTTTAATTTGGCTATTTATATCAAACTTTGCATGTGCTTAATTTGCCATGTACAGCTACAGTTTGTCAGCTCAGCACCACTTCCTTTCTCTGAAAAATGGATGGTTTTCTCCATACATGGACATAGTGAGGACTGTTCATTTTTACAGGATCCAGGCCCCAACTGATTGGTCCAGTTGGAATCAGGTATGCAAACCCCAATTCCTCAAACTTAGCTAACAAGAAAGACAGAAAAAGACCTAACACTTGGGACCTGTTAGCAGCCATGTTCTCCACCCGTATCATTAAAGAAGTTGGTCTGTCCAGAGAATGGAGCTAATCAGGAGGGTCTCTAGGGCAACTAACTCAATTCCATCCATATCCTCTTCAGTTTGTTCAGTCATGTAACATATCCCATTATCCTTCCAACAAATTCATCTTCTTGCATAACATTCTGTCACCAATTAACAGAACACTGATTAATAAAACTCTTGAACCACTGTGCAGAATCACCTGCAGATTTCTTTAAATCAACATCAGGCGATGGACTCAGTGGCACAGTGCGTTGAGCCACCACCGGGGACACTGGCAGCCCACAGCTCACTGTTAATGTGCCTAGGAAACAGCAGATGATGGCTTAAGGACTTAAGTCCCTGCCAACTACATGGGAGACCCAAATGGAGCTCCTGGCTTCTGGCTTCAGCCTGGTCCAGCCCAGCTGTTGCAACCATTTGGAAAATAAACTAGCAGATGAAAGATCTTTCTCTCTCTCCTCCATATTACTCCTCTTTCAAATGAATACATGTATCTAAAAAAATTTCTGGCATTCATTTAAAAACAAAATGCCAGGGCCTTCAATTCAATAAAATGAAGTTAAATGTCTCCGCAGTTTGAGCATCAGGCATTTCAAGAACAACTTGCGTTGATTCTTGCAGACATTTTACTTTGTTCCATCAATTTTTTAAAATTATTTTACTTGAAAGGCTGTTAGAGACAGCATGCACACTTCCATCCACTGGTTCACTCCCTAAAGGGCCTCAACAGCTAGGACCACACCAATGCCAGGAGCTTCGAACTCCATCTGGATTTCCCACATGGTTTGCAGGGGCCCAAGTACTCGGGTTATCTTTCTCTGCTTTCCCAGGCGCATTTGCAGGGAACTGGATTGCAAGCAGAGCAGCTGCACTTGAACTGGTATTTGTATGGGATGCCAGTGTTACAGGCGGCAGCTTAACCCACTCCACAACACTGGCCCTGGCAAATCAATCTTTCAGGAATATTCAGCATAAACAGACATCCAGAGATGTGTTTTAATCCTCACAAGAGTAAAAGTCCATGTATGGTAAGCTTTTAAAATTGCAGCAACTATCAGAACATTAACGTTTCATTCCACTATAATATCAAGAGTTACATCAGGTGCAACTGCACAGAACTCCTTGATTAGCTCTGGGCTAAAGTGAAGCTAACCTATGGCATTGCAATCCATCAATACCTCTCCCCTCAATGCGCACACACACACACACACACAAATTTACAAGTAACTGTTGTGACTCTTAACAATGTTAAATGATTTCATTTCTTACATGCAAGGATTTTCAAAGTGGTCCCAAATTGGTTTTGTACCTCAGCCCAACACTCCTCTCACAGCAATGTATTTTTTAAAAAGTCAAAAGAGAAACGGTTGTTGAGTTGTTCAAGAGCCATTTCCATCTTGCTCACTGACCAAGGTATGAGGGAGGAGGTGTGGAACAAATTTAATTTAATTAAGGGAAACCAGAATGTCCTTTGGGGGTCTCTGGTCCCAAGGTCTACACCAAGCATATTCCAGTTGGTAAAAAAAAAAAAACCTTAAATTTGAGACTTGTTAATTAGTTCTTGTCTGCTAGAAGTGTTAATTGGAAACAGCCTCTGTCTGAATGCAAAGAATGCATATTTCACACAGGGAAATTGGCCTGTAACCATTTTACAGTGAGTTGGTGAGACCTTAATGCAGCAAATCCCTATGCTAGTAAACAGGAAATGCGGGAGAAATCAAAAGCACATCACCCAGGAAAAGGCCCATCTCTACAGATGGTAATCTTGAGCATGCATCAGAATTGGAGGAAGGCTTAACACCAAGCTTGCCACGCCCTGTGCACCAGCAAGTTTCTGGTTCAGAAGGTCCAGGGTGGAGCCAGAGGAGCTTGATTTCTAACAAATCCCCAAGTGATGCTAATGCTGCTGGTCCAAAAGGACAATGGAGAACCACTGGCTTCTGTCAGAGAGTAGCAGGCAAAGATCCTGATATGAGGCCAATGGGCGGGAGGGGGAAGGAGGGAGGAGAAAAGAAAGTACAGAAATAAAATCTCAGTACCCAAGACAGTTTATTTCTTGTTCACATTAACTTAGCTGTAGAAGGAAGAATGGAGTTAAAAGAGGACCTAATCTTCACATTCTAGAACCAAATTACTATAAACTGTTGTCACCAGGCTTGCATGGGTGTGGGCACACACCCAGCCGACTGGGGAACAGAATGGAAGATCGTGCAAGAAATCTTAGGGCACAGACTCCATTTCCCAGAACTTAGTCACATGGCCTCACACAGATATAGGGCAGTAGGGAAATGTGGTCACTGGCTGAACAGTGATATCTCAGCAAGAAGAAGCGCGAATCACTGGTGGACATCGAGCAGTTGCTCCCACCAAACCCTTCTCCCACTGCAGTCTACCAGCCTTGATCATGTCTGAGCTTAGCTTTAAAAATGTGTAATTTCAAAGAATTACAAATATTTTTAAAAATCTGTAATTTCAATCCTCTTAATTACTAAAATCTGTAATCTAAAATTTCTAACTAAGCTGACCAAAGACTTTCTACCCAAGTGACTGAGAAAAACCAATTTATGGGACCTACCAAGGTTCAAGATAAGGAAAAAGAGTCTACTGAGGTAGTAGAGTTACAAGAATCACAAGGAAAAATAAAGTTTTTGTTTCATAACAAATGGGTCTCTTTTAAAATGCTATACTACCTTATGCAGATTAGGTAAATTTTTAAATATTACATAATTTCACATTTTAGAGTATCTATCCCTCATTCTTAAAGCAAATGACAAATTTACTTTTTAAGGATGAAAGTTTGCTATTACCAAGGACACTGTCAAACTTTTACTCCAACTCCAAACAAAAGAATGCCCCACACATCTGCAGCAAACATTTTCTTTTTCAGGTCACTATTCTTAATTTACGGGTCCCTGTTTGCCTACACTTGTTATATACTGAAATTGCTGCCTATGGCATTACGTAAGTGAAAAAGCTGGAGAGTCAAGAAAAAGGCCATTTAAACTTTTAGTTATTCATTTTAAGACTGCCCAAAAGAAAATAAACCAGTAATATTATACTATTTACCAAAAGGGAAAAAAGAAAACTAACATGAGTCACGGTCTTTCATTCATTTCATCAATTAGGACACACAAGGCAGCGTCTTTTTCTATAATCTGGTCCCTTCGATGACCTGAATTTTCTCTTTGCTGCTCACTCTGTCCAGTACAATTGTTGCTATCATCAGCATCCATTGGTTCAGTTTTTACTTTTATTCCTGCTTCTGAGTGGGGTAAATCATCAGGCAAAGAGGCCAAGCAATTCTGAATCATCTCAATCACTCGCTCCAGATGCTTCTGAAACCTCTCGGCTGTTTCAAGCCTCTGTCGTTTCTGGACTTCCATCATAACTCTCAAGGTCTCTCTTGCTTGGTGGGGTCTGTATTCATTTATGAGATGATGCACATGGACAAAAAGCAGCTTAAGATCTTCCAGCTTCTCTTCTCGTTTTATACTCCCAGGGCTCCTTATCAAGATATCTAAAAGGTCCAAGAAATTAATAAGGATAGACATATTGAGTTTCCTCAGTTCTTTCTTGTGATCAAATTGCATAGGATGAAGCCTTTCGATGCCCTGACTTTCCAAAGGGCGGATAATAAGATCATCACATTGGAACTGGTTGCCAAACATCATATAACTGTCTTTGATTGGAGGGGGTGGCTTGGGAGCTAGACCTTCCTGAATATTTTCATCAGTGTATTCCTTGATGTACTGCATAGGAGGTGGAGGAAGTGCACTCACTTGCTGTGGCTCACCCATTGTGGAAGATCAAGCACCTACAAAAACAAACCAAAGATTCACAGAAGAACTACAAAACAAACCTGTCACATTTAGTGTTTACAGACAGAGCACTCCCCTTTTCTTCCGGTAGTTTCAAAGCTAACACTTACAACTCAGAATGGATGCCACCCTTTTCTAATTAAGCACTATATTCTCAACAACCCACATTATTTTTCCTTCCCTGTTAATACTTCTCTCCCAATATCTTGGAGTACCTTTTCATTTATAAAGAAAAGTCTTCTGGATTCTACACCACTTACCTTTTATGTCCCATTTCTCCACATCTCTTTATAGCAAAACTACACATGCTGTCGCCCAAACACATATCACAATCACTTTTTTTTTAGAAGGTAGATGATTTTAAGATTTACTTTATTGATTTGAAAGGCAGAGTTACAGAGAGAGAAGGAGAAACAGAGATATCTTCCATCTGCCTTTTCATTCCCCAAATAGCTGCTAAGGACTGGGGCTGGGCCGGGGCCATGTAGAATCCAGGAACTTCATCCGGATCTCCTTTGTGAGTGATATGGGTCCAGGCACTTGGGCCATCTTCCACTGCCTTCTCAGGCATATGAGAGGAAGCCAGATAAAATTGGAACAACCAGGACTTAAACCAGTGCCCATATGGGATACTGGTGTTGCAGGGAGCCATTTAACCTGCTGCGCCACAATGCCAGCCCCTACAATCACTTTTACTATTACGACGTGATTTCCCAAAGTAAATACTTATAACTCAAACATTTTGACAAAATTAACATTACTAAAATCTAGATACCCAGTATCATCCAAGGCTCCTAGATGAAATGATTATCCAAGTCTGTATCTTTTTTCTACATTTTATGCTACAATTTACTAACCTTTCTGTATCTACTATAGAAACTTGAAACCCAAATTCAAACCCACAGCTTCTATGGCCACAATCACTTCTACTTACTCCTTTTTAAACATAGGTATTATCATCCAATCTGAAGATTCTCAAGTGCTCTTTTAAACCGATCTGAACAGTTTTAAGACACACCCCTCCGACGTCAGGAGGCGGCAAGTACCCGTGTGCCTCTGCGGATGCGCACCCCTCGACTTCAGCTGGCATCTTTCCAGGGTCAACTCCCTAAGAGGCATCACTGTCTCACATCCTCTCCACATCATCTTCCTGCCAATGCTGTGACCTAAGTACACGATCAATGTTATTCTTCGGATGAGGATCCCAAGTCTTAAGGGCACATGTCTGCAGATCGCATAACTGCTAACGGCACAACAGCAATTCCTACCCCACGTCCTTTGAGCTCCAACCCGCGAAATCTCTTCAATCACAAATCCTTAAGCCACGAACCGTCTAAGGGTACAAGAAACACTTGGGACTCTAACACCATTATGTTTATGTTTATTCCGTATCACCTCTCTAAACAGAACTTTTCTAAGGTAATGGAGTTTTGTTTTATTTGTTTTCAGGAAGATCAGCGGGGAGCGTCGAAACCGGTTCTCTGGCTGAAAAGCCACCTTCTAGAATGTGCTGGGGGGGGGGGGGTCCCTGGGGGCGAGGAGATTGCACATCACCAAAGCAAGGAAGCTATTCTAGGGTCCCATCCTCAGGGATTTGGTTCTCTTCTCTCTACCGTGAATGGGACTCCCGAGTTTCTAGAACCTCTCGAGGCGGATGTGACGATTCTGAGGCTTGGTACCCGCCGCCCTCGCTCTCCCCTCATTAACTCGGCAGATTTCAGAGACGGGAACAGGCGCACTCTCACTGTACAAGTGGCCAGCGATAACCGCCTCTCCGGGGGCCCCTACCTTGGAAAACCAGCTGCGCCGGGGCCAGAACCCACGCCTCCCAACCTGCAGTCCCGCGCCGACCCCACACTGAGGAAACCCGGAGCCCGCCGCCCCGGGGCACCTTCCGCGGCAGCCAGGCCACGGCCCTGGAAGACCGCAGAAAAGGAAAACCAGCGAGCGCCCTCGTAGGCCGACCCTACGGCCTCCCGAACTCCCAATCCGGCCGAGAGGAAGCAGCGGGGTCCGGAAGGAAAAACCAAGAACGCGGGGCCCCAAGCCCACGCCGCCCACTCACCTCTGCACTTGGTTGACGCTAGAATCTACCTTCGCCACCGCAACCGAAATCTGACTTCCGTTCTCCCTCCCCAGGAAGCAGCCACCGACGCTGCCCTTGATTGGCTGCTCGAGCTGTCGTTTCACCTGGGCTCTAGTCCCGCCCCAGAGCTAGAGCTCGGTACTGCGCTTGCGTATGTCCCACCCCCCCAACCCGCCCACCATTAGTGGCCTGCGGGCTGGGGTTGGATCTCTGTACTTTTTATCAGTAAAAGTAGCAGCTGGTTTCTCCGTTTACTTATTTTTATTTCTAAAATGTAATGCTTGAAATCGAACAGGGCATCTGTATGTCTTAAGTAAAAGTTGGAAAGCACAGGCAAGCAGATGTTTCTAAACGTTCCAGCTCCAAACCCACTGTCGGAAATAAGATTTTAAAAATGATATTGGACGCTGCTATTTAGATATGCCTTTAAATCTGGAAGTGTTGTGAACATGAGAATCAGCAATATATTCTGAATCTCCATTTCTTCACCATCTGTTCACTTTTATTTTCACTTGGGAATTCAGGGATATTTATTATCTATTATGCAGCAGTTATCTCTTATCTGTTATGCAACAAGTTACCAAGTTGAGAAAAATGTTTCTTTGGAGGGCTATTTTCACAAGAAGTGTCACAAATTTCTAAAGTCGTAGGAGTCTTACAAAAGCACGTTGCAAATAAAATGCACGATAATTTTGCTGATAAAAATTCAGACTTCTTTAAAAATAAAGTTATTTGACTTTACTATTTAAAAACTTATTATGGAAAATTCAATCATATAAGAAATTGCAGAAACCAGTTTACTTACCACACAATTTCAAAAATGGTGTCTATATCAGCACGTGCATTTCTAAAAGATTAAGGACCCTTTTAGTATAACCATTCGCTCATTTAAAGATAAATCAATTATTTAACAATATCAAATATCAGGCCAGTAATTGAATTCTGAGTGCCTCAGGTTCCAAGTAAGCCTCTTCTTTTTCTACTGGCCAATGTGTCCTTTATGTATGTATTTTAGGAGATTTATTTATTTATTTGAAAGGCTGTGTTGAGAGACAGAAAGATCTTCCATCTGCTGATTTTACTCCTCAAAAGGCTGCAATACCTGGGGATGATCCAGGTGGAAACCAGGGGCCCAGAGCTCCATTCAGGTGTCCCACGAGGGTAGCAGGGATCCAAGCACTTCAGCTGTTTTCCCTTGCTTTCCCAGGCACATAAGCAAGGAGATGGATGAGCAGAGCAGCAGGACTCAAACCAGTGCTCCGAAATGGTTTGCCAGCATCGCAAGCAGCAGCTTAATGCCCACAATGCCTGCTGTGGCCAATGTGGCCTTGAATTTTTTTTTTTTTTAAGTCTACAGTTGACTTCTTCCATCTTGATTCCCTCTACCTTACTGCCACACACACATCAATTTATTTCATGAAGAAATCCACCCATTTTTGACCCTACCCCAATCAAGACTTTCTCCCCACTACTCACAGCAGTGTGTCCCAAACCAGTGACACCCAGTGGCCATTCTCAGTTCTCACTGTACTCCAGTTGTCTGCACAGTTCAGCACCTTTGATCATTTGGATTGCCCGAGAACTTAGTTCTAGAACGACTTCTCAGTCAGATTTCATCCGGGTCATAACTTCTAGGGAATTTCAATCACCTGGGCCCTGGAATACCCTCTTCTCTGTGTTTCAGACCTTGAATCCAACAGGATTAGACATCTTTACTCAACTGCCTTTCACCCAGATTGCAAAGGCTCAAATCTAAGGAAATGTGTTTGTACTTCAAAAAGTTTGTGGAAAATGAAATTAAAAGCGAAGTTTATTTTGGTGCAAAAGAAATTTGAAATCCAGGTATGGTTTTTTCATTAAAAATTGGTGTGTATTGTATAAACACTATGCATGGATTTAAAAAAAAAAAACTTTTTGCACCAAAATAAATTTATCTTTTAATTCCATTTTCCCACAAACTTTTTGAAGCGCCCTCATACTTAACATAGTTAAAGTCTCAAATATGACTAATTTTCGCCATCCCCACTGCTGTGCTCCTGGTCTATGCCATGATTCTTGTCTGGACTTCGAAAATAGCCTGATCGCTGCTTTCCTTGCTACCAGCTTGTCATGCCTTAGTTTGATTACCACAGTGTCTTAAAGTATAAATCCAGTCAGATCCTCTATTCAAAATTCTTTGAGCCTTTCTATCACATTAAGAATCAAGTCCAATGTCCTCGCCATGACCTTCATAAGGTTCTGCACATTCTAGGGATTGTCTACTTCTTAGATGTTGTTTCCCACATTTTTTCCCGTGCTCCCACGTCTCCAGCTACACTGAATTTCTTTCTTTCCCTCACAATTATCAAACACCCTCTTGCCTCCCAGCATTTGCTTTTGGGAGCTCTTCCATAGCTGTCCCCATGCCTCACTTCCTCACTTCACTCAGGTTTCTGGGCAGATTTGACTTGAGAGAATTCTTCCTTGGCCGCTCCACATAGAGTAGCACAATGCCAATTACTCACTTGGGAGGTATCCCATACTTACTTCTATGTATGACCCTTCATTCATAGAACTTGCCATCTGAAATCAGCCTATTAAGTGTATTTATCTGATTTTTTGTTGTCTTCCTTCTCCATTAAAACACAAGGTTTATTAGCATAGGGCATCAATTTCACTCACTGCTGTATGTGCAGCACCCACAACAGTATTGACAGTGACAAGTATTCAATGCACGTTTACTGAATAAAGAACAAAATGTACTCATCATTTTCAAATGAACTTACAGTGTGGCTTTGGTAGTTATACCACAGACTATTTAGCCAAATTCCTGCTGTTTGAAATTATTTCCCCCCAATTTTTTCTATTATAAGTACACTGGGCAATGAATATCCTAGTGCATATATGGTTGTATTTGAGCCCAGTTTACCCCTTAAGACAAATGTCTAGAGATGGAACTACTGGCTTGCAAAGTACAGTGTCTTATAGTTACTGATAGGGTGAGGGTTAGAATCTAGAACTCCTGATTCTCACGGTAGTGTTCTTTCCAATTAACTACAAATGATGCAATACATATCATGAGAAAGGCTAGAGGAAATATACTGTATAGTAAACATTGATTTCTGTGGCAGTGCTTACAGAATCTAAGTGGAAAGTCTGTTTCTTAAAGATGTCTGCCAAAGGGGTTGACATTATGGCAAAGCGGGTAAAGCTGCTGCCTGCTATGCTGGTGTCCCATATGGGTGCCACTTAGAGACCCCGCTGCTCCACTTCCGATCCAGCTCTCTGCTAATGTGCCTCGGAAAACAGTGAAAGATGGCCCAATTGCTTGGGCCCCCGCACCCATGTAGGAGAAGGGAAGGAGCTCTGGGCTTCTGGCCTGGCACAGCCCTGGTCTTTTCACTCATTTGTATAGTGAATCAGTGGATGGAAGATCTATCTCTCTGAGTAACTCTGCCTTTCAAATAAATAAAAATAAATATTTTTTTAAAAATACCTATTATAGTTTAACAAAATAGTTTATATTGTGTCTGCTGTGCCAGGCACATTTCTAGAAGGTTAAAAAGACAGACACTACCCTCTAGTGGGGAGACAGATAAGCAAATAAGGCTATAAGGAAAAAGAAAATACAGAATAATGTGATAGCACAGTGGGTTGGAGGAAGCTAATTTATAAGTGGGTGGCTAGGACAGCCTGGCACAAGAAGGTAGATTTGGAAAAATGACATGAATGCTGAAGACTGAATTGGGCAGAGATCCCAGAGATAATAAGTGCAAGGAGCCTGAGACCATCACAATCTTCCTGAGTTAGAGACAGGAAAGGAATCCATATGCTTTGTAAGTATTCAGCAGAGGATGAGTAGGGGAAGATAAGTGGGCACAAACAGGTAGGGGTTGACTTGTTAGTTAAAGACAGCATGCCTTGGTTAGGTTCTTGGTGCTTTATAATGACGATCACTTGAACCTAAGTGCCAATAAGAAATATACATAGTTTTCATCCACCCTGTTAATTTTTAAATTTAGGTTTATTGGGGCATAATTTACATAGAGTAAAATAAATTTCATATATCTAATTAGATGAGTTTTGATGACTATAGATTGGTATAAAACCAATTTGATTATTATACCAATTTGATTTATATATTTATATGTATATATAAATAAATATATATTTATAATTTATAAATATATAAAAATATATAAATTTTTATATATTCGATTTAAGATATCGAATATTTTCATCAACCCAAATAACTCCTTTTGTGCTATTTTGTATTCAATCATTTCCCTTCACATCCAGCCCCTAGTAATCACTGATTGATTTCTGTTCATGTAGTCTTGTCCTTTCCAGAATGTCATCCTAATGGAATTAATTTATAGACTTTGTATGGCTTCTTTCACTTCATATAATACTTGTGAGGTCCATCGGTGCTGTTTATTGTCAATATATTGTTCCTTTTTATAGGTGCCTAGTATCCCATTGCATGCATGTACCATGATCCATTCACCAGTTAATAGACTTTGGGTTATTTCACTTTGGGGTAATTATGAATAAAGTTGTTATAAACATTTTCATACAGATCACTGTATAGGCACATGGTTTCATTTCCTTTGGTTTATTACATAGGAATAGAATCACAATCCTCCGCCTGCGGCGCCGGCACACCAGATTCTAGTCCCGGTCAGGGCGCCAGATTCTGTCCCGGTTGCCCCTCTTCCAGTCCAGCTCACTGCTATGGCCCGGGAGTGCAGTGGAGGATGGCCCAAGTTGGGCCCTGCACCCACATGGGAGACCAGGAGAAGCACCTGGCTCCTGGCTTCGGATCAGCGCGGTGCGCCGGCTGCAGCACACCGGCTGCAGTGGCCATTGCGGGGTGAACCAACGGAAAAAGGAAGACCTTTCTCTCTGTCTCTCTCTCACTGTGCACTCTGCCTGTCAAAAAAAATTCTATTTTT